AATTTGTGTAATCATACATAATTCATTAGTGATTTCAAAATGAATTCTAGTGATGAAGAAAGTGTGAATTGTACTCCACCAGAAATTAGTGAGGCAGCTGAGGAAGCAAAATCGAGTTTATTGCCAAGTAAATCAAAAAAAATATACGACAAAGTATACGAGGAATTCGTGAGCTGGTGCGACAGAAATGATGTAAAAAATAAGAACTACACTGAAAGTGTGCTTCTTGCCTATTTTCTGGAAAAATCAAAATCTCGTAAGCCCTCTTCCATGTGGTCATATTATTCCATGTTGAAAGCTACTTCAAATGTACATGATAATAGAGATATTAGTAAATATGCAAGATTGATAGCTTTTTTGAAAAGAAAATCTGACGGTTATAAACCAAAGAAATCGAAGATCCTAAGCAGAGAAGAAATAGAGTTATTCTTGAGTGAAGCACCAGACGATTCGTACCTTATGATGAAAGTAAGTACTAATTTCATGCTTTCTTAATGTCAAGTATATGATAATTTGAAACTTTGTTGTAGGTAGCACTGATTTTTGGCATTTGTGGAGCATTAATTGAAACCATTGGAATCTAGATTTCTATCGATATGACAGTGACACATTAGCTTTACCACCAGCTCAATGACTTTATCGCCCGCCGGGCGGTAAAGTAGTCCGCGGGCGGTAAAGTGCCACTTTACGCCCGCAAACCCGGGCGGTAAAGTGCTACTTTACGCCCGGTCGTGCATAAAATATATTATAGAAATACTCAATGTATAATGCAAAACAACGTTAGCGAGGTCTGCTAGTATAGTAACATATCTAATACAAAAGTGACAGTGACAAGAGCAACACCCTACTACCTGGTCCCTGGCCAGGAACGACTCCCATTCATCGAATTGGGAAGAGCCTGTTTCGACTCCCAATGTGGGCCCGGGCTAGAAAACGCGTGGGATGCCGGTCGGCGAGCTCCATATCGCGTGGGGCGTCTGACGTCATCACGCGGCCAGGTCCGGACTCAACACAAACACAAAATACTTGATGTCGTATATAAAAATTTGGGTGATCAATCGCTGTTGACTTGGAGAGGTTAAACCGATCATCTCTACAGGACGCATAAATGCCAAAACCTCAAGATAAAAGTGGAAATATCAACATACAAAACGGAATTTCTATCTACTGAAAAAAAATTAAAATACGTGGCACTACTATACGCTTCAGTAATGAAACCTATTCTTCTTTGATGTGATTATTTAAGAAATTGTGCGAAGAATGATTGATAATACATAATTTGTAGTTGAAATGCTCTAGAGCCGAGTCTGTACCATACCGGACATAACGCGTCATATTGATCTTCGGCGGGGTTGGGGGTTGCAAATGTTTTCCCGCTCTTTTGCTGCTCTGCATCTAATTATAGTGTCTACTAGCGTCTGAGAAAAATAAATCAAAAATAATCTCAACATACGAACCATTTTAGAGAAGGTTATTTTCACAAACAATATACAAATCGTTTGTTTTCTCATTCTTTCTACAATAATTGGATCTAATAAACTCCCTACCGATACAGAGTTGGTTGAATATGAAAAAAATGTTATTTTTGATGCTGAATATTAATCTGTAGAGGGCGATCATTCGTTTCTAAAATAAGACGCGAAAATATTGAAAATTACTCAAATTTTTGTCCAGTTATACATGAATTTTTGCGGGCGTGAATAGACACTTTATACCGCCTTCGGACTACTTTACCGCTCGGCGCATAGGTAACTCGTATACCGGGTGTCAACGAATCTATTAGACAAGTCATAACTTCTAGACCATATCTTTCACTTTCCGGTCACTTCCGGTTTCACCGGAAATTGCTCCGGTTCTGAATTTTCAAATGGAACACCCTGTATATTGTAACATTTTTGGATTTCTGATACAAATCTAGATCAGAATATGACATTTTCACTTTTGAAATTACATCTATATAGGTGGCCATGATCGGAACTAAACTAATCTAAGAACCTCAGAATATATCAGAAAATTACAATCGCAAAGTTTTAGTGACAATTATGATAGATATGAATAAGACAAGTTGGATTACAAATTACATTTGCGTGTCTAACTATTATTTTTCAAATGGCGACCATTTTTTAACAAGCACTTTCCGAAAAAAGGATATTTTGACGAATCAAGTGTGCCGATGATAGGCATGATGCATAATATTTTGCAGTTATATCGATCAAGTATTCTGGGGAGAACAAAACACTCACTTAGGTTATGACAGTGACATAAGCTTCAAGAGCAGGAGGTAAAATTTTATTGATTTTCGTTAAGTTAAGTCAAAATAATGTATACTCAAAGTGAAAAAGTGGATATGTTGTTATTGTTTGGAGAATGTCACAGAAATTCAAGGAATGCTGCTGAGTTATATGCTCAGAGATATCCCAATCGGCAACATCCATCCCATCAGTATTTTCTGTATGTTGAGAATCGTTTTAGACAAGAGGGAAATCGAGAGGCAGAACAGAGGTTTATCATAAATGAGGAGACTGAGATTAACGTTCTTGCCATGGTTGAGGTTAACAAAACGGTTTCTTTAAGGGAAATTAGTCGAGAAGGGTTACATCAACATTTGTATGCTGACGATGGCGATAGACGAGTATTGTTTTGTGATTGGTTGCTTCAAAACCATAGAGTTAACCCAAATTTCATCAACTTAATTCTATTTTCCGACGAATCACGATTTACAAATAATGGCTTGTTCAATAAGCAAAATTCTCGGTACTGGGCCCAACAAAATCAACAACAAATTTGTTGATCCAATCGCAAATAAATTAGTATCGTTAGATTCGTCAAAATATCCTTTTTTCGGAAAGTGCTTGTCAAAAAATGGTCGCCATTTGAAAAATAATAGTTAGACACGAAAATGTAATTTTGCCAACTTGTCTTATTCATATCTATCATACTTGTCACTAAAACTTCGCGATTGTAATTTTCTGATATCACCTGAGGTCCTTAGATTAGTTTACTTCCGATCATAGCCACCTAGATGTAATTTCAAAAGTGACTCCGAAAAAATCAAGTAGGCATGAAATCTTTCGGAAATGTCACATTCTGATCTAGAATTGTCTCAGAAATTCAAAAATGTTACAATATACAGGGTGTTCCATTTGAAAATTCAGAATCGGAGCCATTTCCGGTGAAACCGGAAGTGACCGGAAAGTGAAAAATATGTGAAAACTCTCCTCTTTACATACCATTTACCTATACCAAATCTCATTTTGATACACCTAATGGTCTAGAAGTTATGACTTGTCTAATAGATTCGTTGACACCTATAGACATTCCTGTACAATGAGTCAGGACATTATGTTTCATTTGTGACGGTTCCTTATCTTATATACATACAGGGTGTTTCACAGGTAAAGGGAAATATTTCACCGGTAGATAGGGTTCACCAAGGTGGTTCTGAAAATACCATATTTGATAGGTCTTAGAGTTTTCATAACGGCGATTTATCGATTTCGAATAATTGTTCATTCGTCTATAAGTATTGAACTACCCAGTATATTTTTCTAAAATATGGTATGGAGCTTGAACTTGAGACGTTGAATTCATTGACCTATCGGGCGAAGTGAAAATCCAGGTTCGGCTTCAGGAAAAATGTACATTTATTCGAAATATCAAAATAACACACTGTATGTAATAATTGACAAAGTTCATCAAAGGAATCGTGAAGAGGAGGAAAAACTGAACTGGATTTGATGCTCTTTGTTTTCCCGCCACCAATTCTCATCGTAACAATCATAAACAGGAAGCTAAAAGTATGTCAATTTGAAGAGTATTGAGATTATGAAACCAGTGTCAATTATGATTATTCGATATATTTTAGTCGAAAAATCGCTCGAAAGAATTTACTAAGTCTCACAGTTTTTATAATGGAGATACAGGGTGAATTATCGGTTTTGAATAATCATTCACTCGTCCATAAGTATAAAACTACCCAGTAACATTTTCTCAAATATGCTACCTTGGGACGATGGATTCATTAACCTATCAGGCGGAATTATAATTCGATAATTCACCCTGTATCTCTGTTATGAAGACTATGAGACTTTTCCTGAAGCTGAACCTGTATTTCCATTCTGCCTGATAGGTCAATGAATCCATCGTCCCAAGTAAGCTCAATACCAAATTTGAGAAAATATTACTGTGATGGGTAGTTTAATACTTATGGACGAGTGATAATTCACCCTGTATCTCTGTTATAAAGAATGTGAGACTAAGTAAGTTCTTTCGAACGATCATTTTACAAGAATATATCAAATAATCATAATTGAAAGTGGTATCATAATTTCAATACTCTTGAAATTGACATACTTTTAGCTTCCTGTTTATGATTGTTACGATGAGAATTGGTGGCGGGAAAACAAAAAGCATCAAATCCAGTTCAGTTTTTCCTCCTCTTCACGATTCCTTTGATGAACTTTGTCAATTATTACATACAGTGTGTTATTTTGATATTTCGAATAAATGTAAATTTTTCTTGAAGCAAATATTTCCCTTTACCTGTGAAACACCCTGTATATGTGCATATTCTTTTCTGAGACCGAAACATGTCCCTGATTGTTTAACAACGTCTTTAAACTGTGTGGGGATGATTATAGCTTTCCTTCTTTCCCTAAACCTAAATGTGGTAAATTACCAATGTCGTCAGCAGAATGGTGAAGGAATTATTTCTCTCAACCAATTCGCGCTTTCGCCAATTACTGGGTTTTCGGCATAAAAGCTGGTGCCTTCACCAAATTTTGAAGTGCAGCATAATGATTCAATTAATTCCATAAAAAAATGAAGCAATTGAAATATTGCTGAAATATCATACATTTTTGAAGCCACCAAAATATGAATATAATGAATACATAATTCCAATGTAAATCTTCTCAAGGTTTCAACCCCGTCTAATGAGAAGTTGGTTCCTCCACATCGATGATGATGTGGCAATGGCGAACAAAAAAAGTGAAAATTACCTTATTGGATCGGAGAGTGACTTTCCCACCACAGCGGGCGCAGCATCTTATTCCGCAGTAGTTGCAAAGATGGCCGACACCATCGGCGAATTTCGTTTTCAAACAAATATGACAGGTGGCGTCGAGTTCGACTCCCGCCTTTTTCTGTTGCTCGTTTCGGGCGCGAATAGAGTCCTCTAATATTTGGACTTCGTCGGCTTTTCTCCTGGAACAATGGATATAGTTGTATTCCGATGAAAACTATGAAATACTCAAAACAACTGATTTTGAGCGACTTGGATGTAAAGTAACACTTTATCTTCAGGAACAGTGGACGTAAAATGGCACTTTAGCGCCGGTGGATTACTTTCCAGTACGGCGACAATAAACTAAATGAGTGAAAGCGAAAATTGTAAATTTCATTACCCATTCATGGGTGTGACGGCGCAATATCAATACTTCTTTCTTGATCACACTCATTGAGCTCATTGAAACTTCGAACGCGAATATCTTCATAATCGTTTGAAATAACCCAATCAAACCCAGTATTGTTGAATTCGTTATACTAATTTCTAACCTATTATGGAATAAAATAGAGGTTGTGTAAATTCAAGTTTAGCCAATTCAGTCGACCTTTCTGACCTATAGCCCTATTGGCAGTTGGTTAATATTGCATTGTCTTCCATAAAGGAATAAATTCTAGTTGCAGAAGACTTCTCGGTGATTTTTGATATACAACTCTAGAAAAGCCGATCTCACTGTGCCCAACATAAGCTTGTCAGAAGTAACCATACCTTTGAAGACATCCATTTCGATTACTATCATCAGAGATTATACTGTATAATCTCTGCTATCATTATTAATACCAGCTATAACCTTCCTTGGGAGAATCACGTGAGATCAATTGCTAAAAGTGCATCCCAAAAACTTGGTTTTCTGTTTCCGGCCAGAAGCTATTTCACTTCCAGTCAGCTGCTTATGTTCTATAAGGCTATCCCTTTTCGTGGGAACCAGAACATAAAAAAAATCTATAGTTCTCAACACTATGTTGATCCCCTTTTTTATAAAGTGGAATTACTTTTCCCAATTCTAGAAAATCGGGAAATTGTAAAATTCAAAAGAGTATAATTGATTAAAGACGCAATAGGTTGTGATATGACCGACATATTCGATGTTCCAAATTCGAGAAATTTAGCTAGGAAAACACAGGAGAAAAGGAGGTATACCATCAGGAGTCGGGTGTTTTTCATGAATTTTTTATAGATAGTTGATGATCCTTCATCCTGGACAATTTGTCTTCTTCGGTCCTTAAGTTTGTCAAAAACTGCACTGCGAAAAAATTAATAGAGTTCATGTTGATGAATATTCATTAGTAACAGTACAGAATTCAATTAGGAAAAATTATAACTAATTACAATTTGGAAGTGAGTATCTACATACCTACAGGGTGATTCTATATTCAATGTAAATATTTTAAGGATGTATTGTTGGCATCTTCGTATAAGCATATGTCCTAAAATTGAGCTTAAAATGCACACAACCTCCGGGCTACAGCCACTGTAATTTGGCAAAAAATAGGTACCTGAAGAGAAAACATGGTCGTCATTCAGGGGGGCACAGGGAGGCAATAGCCCACCCTTCTAATTTTCTAAAAAAAATTTGATCCACTCAGATTCTTCCTGTAACCACATTATATACATCATCAATATTGTATCAGTACTTGAAATTGAAAAAAAAAAGAGTATTTCAAAATTGATGAAACATCATCAAGTATATTAATAGAAGCAGGTATCATACATACATGAAATATACCTGAATAAGGGAGCACATTTTCCTAAAATCTAAAAATTATAATAGACTGATGTCTAACCTTTCTTCCTGTTATGAGTGATAGTTGATGATTCGGATACGATGAAAAAATTGTAGTGAATCATGCAGGGATCGAATCTCTGAATTATTTTGCCAAATTGAAAAAATTAATCAGTATCCCTTGCTCCCAAAAAAATTTCCACCTGCTCGGGTAACCTACTGACATTATCCAAAATACGTTTTCTTTCTTTTCCTATTTCAGTCAAGTTATTTGACCCTTTCCTAGAACACACTGAAATGGAGTTGTCTCTGTGAAATCTGATTTTCAATTTGCGGGCATTTGACCTTGACGCATTTTTCACATTGCAACCATTTTTGCTGACTCTCTTGACCCCCCCCCACGGTATTCTCTGAAATGACGCCTCTACAAGAAAACATTTTTTCTCAAATGCTACACAATATAGGTATCCCTCTCAAGCAGGTTCACCACGTTCCTTGTTTTTATCCTTCACACTTTCATACCGAAGAATAAAGGCTGGTCAGAATCAGAATGACGATTAAATTTTCACTTATAATATCACGGGAGTCTTCAACTCGGGAGAATTTTCGACATATCGTGTTCTCGAAAAAATTTCCGGATATTAATTGAAGCTGAAGTGGTATGGAAATGTCATTCAACCTATAAAGGAGGAGGAAAAGATTTCCAAGAAATTTGTTTAGTTGCTATGGTAACGATACGAAATACAGGCTTTAAATTGATAGAAAATGTTTGCTGTGAAATTTTTATACATAATTTCAGCACCTCAGGTGTTTCATTTTTAAATAATGAGATATTCTTACCCGTCAACCTGTTTTTTGGGTTCTACGATCAGAGGCCACCCGAAAAGTCTCCTGAAAATTACCCCCCACACCCCTATGCATGAAACAGCCATTTTCACATCACATAACACACGAACACATCATAAATGAAATAGGCCGTTCTAATGAGTCTTGCCTTGCTATATCAAAAGAAAAACAGCCTATTATTTATATCAATACATTAAAATATGGATAATTGCCATTCCCGCACATGTAGACGGTTCTAGCAGGACTAACAAACATGGAAGGCATTCGTAATGAGTCATGCAGATGTGGAGATATGCACTGTTCTAATTGAAATAGTGTTCTTGTACTTCCTCAACAATAATAATATGATCTATTTTTACCCCCTCCCACACTTCATCCCTCTTGTGGGAATAATGCATTCAAAACTTTCCAAACGTAACAAACTTCACTTGAATATAAACAAATGCAATAAAATATTATTCACTCGGAGTGCATCTCCCCCTGTTTCTGATCTTTTTTCATGTGGAGAGCCTCTCAGGGAATCAAATCTCATTAAGGACTTGGGAATTTTTCTAGATACTAAACCTTTGACAGCCACGTTGAAAGAATAGTTCAAAAAAGTCGAAAGAATCTTGGCTTCATTCGAAGAGCAACTGGAAGCTTCTTTAAACCTGATATTACTTTATAAAACTCTTTGGTGAGATCGACCCTAGAGTATGGCTCCATTATTTCGAATCCGCATTATAATGTACATTCCGATCGTATTGATAAAGTTGAAAGAAAAGTATATATTTCACGATGAAACATATGCTAGGTAAGGTAAACAAATATGTAATCTTCATTGATTGAATATACCCAGAGTAGAGGCAGGAGACTATTGTGGATATAGTTTCGTTAGATCACCTTGGTTAGATCCTTACCCAGAATATCTCAGAAATGGTACAATACATGCGAAATATGTACCGAATTATTCGGATAAATCTACCAAGTATTGAGAAGACATCAAATATAGATACGATTGATGCAGTAGACTTTGTTGGCAATACACTAAGTTCACCACTCAGAATTCGACTATTTTTTGGCAACCTATTTACTGAAGGAGTTGATTGATTTACTCACGTTTTCCATATTCAGTTAATGCTTGTTGTATGAATCTACCAAATACAGAATTTCAAAGATATACATTCTGTGGAACTTTTCAAGGATACTTGCAGACATGTTTATCAAATAGACGAGGCTGAAAGCTATATGCTAGTTGATTCGAGTATTGCTTCTATGCAAATTTCTTCTTGCAATGCAATACCTCGAATATTAGGAAATATATTTCAAAGGTATCAAAGATTCAATATATTTGATGCTTGAATGAAAAGATGTGATGTGAGTATAGGAAGATCTTAAGGTGTGAATGGGTAGGGAAGGTGAAGAAATGAAACGTATGGATTTGGTACTCAGGGTAGAGACAGGCAAACATGCATTTATACAATGCAAAATATTTGCTAGAAGTTGAATGTTTCTTATGTATGAACAAGAAGGGACTAAAGTGACATCATGTTCATAAAACAGAAGAGTCAGGGTGACATGCTATTTCGCCTGCATGAAAATGTCTAGTAAAAATACAATGCAAGTTGAATGATGAGCCGACAAAGGAACCCTATTTTATATCGAAGAAAATAGTGGAACATCAAAAACATCAAATGATAAACTGAAAAGATCTGCTATCAAAGAAGGTGAAGAAAATGTGAAGTGAAGATCCAGACGATCCCTCGTCACATTCAAGTAGGTACCTCCTAATCGTCTGCTCCCGTTTCTCCTCCTGATTCTGCCTCATCATCATGGACTCGATGATGGCGATGATGGCACATCAATGTCATCAAATGCTGAATTAAACAAAAAAACTGCTATCAAAGGAGGCGAAGAAAATGTAAGATGAGGACCCAGACAATCCTCGTCCTATTCGAAGGGACATCATGTTTATCAAACAGAAGGGTCAGTATGAAAATATCTAACAACACTGTCATATCAAAGATAAAAATGGCACGTCAAAGGCTTAATTCAAAAGATCTGCTATTAAGGAAGGCGATAAAATGTAAGGTGAGGACCCAGACAATCCCTTGTCACATTCAAAGGGACATCATGTTTATCAAACAGAAGAGTCAGGAAGACATGCTATTACGTTCGTAAGAAAATGTCTAAGGACACTGCAAAGCAAGTTGAATGATAGTAGAAATATATCAAAGATAATAGTGGCACATATCAAATGATAAACTGAAGAGATCTTCTATGAAGGAAGGCGGAAAATATATTAGGTGAGGATCCAGACAATCCCTCGTCACATTCAAGTAGGTACCTAAGAATTTCCTGCTCCCGCTCCTCCTCCTGCTTCTGCCTCATCATCACCGACTCGATGATGGCGATGATGGCACATCAATGTCATCAAATGCTAAATTGAAAAAAACTGCTATCAAAGAAGATGAGGACCCAGACATCCCTCGTTACATTCAAAGAGACATCATGTTTATCAAACAGAAGAGTCAGGGAGAAATGCATGTATGAGAATATCTAACAACACTGCAACGCAAGTTGAATGGTAGCAGACATAGGTATACCCTATTTCATATCGAAGATAATAGTGTGTGACACATCAAGGGCTAAATTCAAAAGATTTGCTATTGAGGAAGGCGTAGAAATTGTAAGACCCAGACAATCCCTCGTCACATTCAATGGGACATCATCTTCAACATACAGAAGAGTCAGGAAGACATGCTATTACGTCCGTAAGAAAATGTCTAACAACACTGCAAAGCAAGTTGAATGATAGCAGACATAGGTATTATCAATTTCATATCGAAGATAATAGTGACACATCGAAGGCTAAATTCAGAAGATCTGCTATTAAGGAAGGCGATAAAATGTAACGTGAGGACCCAGACAATCCCTCGTCACATCCAAAGAGACATCATGTTTATCAATCAGAAGAATCAGGAAGACATGCCTGTATGAGAATATCGAACAACACTGCAAAGTAAGTTGAATGGTAGCAGACATAGGTAAACCCTATTACATATCAAAGATAATAGTGTGACACATCAAAGGCTAAATTCAAAAGATTTGCTATGGAGGAAGGCGAAGAAATTGTAAGGTGAGGACTCAGGCAATCCCTCGTCACATTCAATGGGACATCATGTTTATCAATCAGAACAGTCAGGAAGACATGCTATTACGTCCGTAAAAAAAACGTCTAACAACACTGCAAAGCAAGTTCAATGATAGCAGAGATATATCAAAGATAATAGTGGTACATATCAGATGCTAAATCGAAAAGGTCTGTTGTGGAGGAAGGCGGAAAATATATAAGGTGAGGATCCAGACAATCCCTCGTCACATTCAAGTAGGTACCTCAGAATCTCCTGCTCCCGCTCCTCCTCCTGCTTCTGCCTCATCATCACCGACTCGATGATGGCCCTTTCCTCGGGAGTGAGGTGAGACAGATCGGGTCCGACGTCCTCCATTTGCCGCCACTAGCCCGACATGACCATCTCATCCCTCGCACCCTACAGTCCCTACGCCACGACAACCGCCCATATCGCCCTCACGCGACCCTCATTATGATAACAAAGCAGGCTCTGGCCACCACGCGAAAGACGTACCGAGATTCTCTCGCCAGAATATCACAGTTGCTATTATCCATTCATGGACTTTTCATAAATAATAGGACGAGTTGTCGGCGAACCAATGGCGGACCGTTACGTCACGAGCGATGGGTATTGATTGGGGTGGGGGCGCGTGCGCAGATGCGTTGGCAGTTGTTTCTGGATGATTTTCGGGATTTCGGGAGACTAGAGTCTAACTTGCTAATGCAGGAGCCGCCGATCTCAACCGAATCACGACTATAGCAACTGTTTACATATTTAGTAATTCATTAAAGATGATCAAAGGTACCTATAAATCAATAAAAATCATCATGATAGTAAGTGAAGATAGTTCCAACTAACCTATCAACTAAATAACTGAACACTTCAAAACTAAAATTGAAAATTCGCTAGGTCGACTAGGGTGATTAGTATGCATTAATAATATGTTGATGTCAATTTTTTTTTATTGACATATAGGGTGGCCCATATTTCGAGTACATACACGCCACTGATGGTTGGGTATTAGTCTATGCCAGATTGCAATACTTTTCTCGATTCTACCTTTCAGTAACTATAGGTATTCAAATTTTGACCCTCTCGATATTTCATTTGGTTTTTGAGATTTTTGATAAAATTCAATCAAATTCAATTTAAAATGCTCATTTGGTGACAAATTATTTGAATTTTCGTTTGTAAAAAATTCCACGAGAAGTCAATTTCCATGTATTATCTCCATTTTAATCTCCAATGGTATACAACTTCATACAATAAATCAGTGAGCTCCTTGAGAATTTCTATTCAGAATCTCATCATTATTTTTGCTTTCCGAAAAAAATCTCTTTTGAACGATGAAAGGAGGCTATTTTTCACCAACTGCGAAAAATATAGTAGGTATAGGTACATACCTATACAATTACCCACCTATACCCTGTACTCTGTAGTCCCCATCATCTACCAATTATTATCCGAGAATAATATCAATATGTAGGTAACCGTAACCGTCATATAATATATATATAGGATATGTAGTTTCATCTCGAGTTTTATACATGGCCCAGAGTTTTCGTGGCCACCAGGTATAGGCGTATTAAAGACCTCCAGTATAATGGTATAGTGCTGTTGATTATTTTATCATACATAGATTCATGAAGAATAATCCAGAAATAGTACCTAATGTAATGCCACTCAGAGACTTTTATTTTCACTAGACATTATTTCATTGCTTTTCGAATTCTCGTTCGTTCTCAAGATTTTACTACTAAAAGTAATCAAATAAACGAGTGAACTCGACTGCACTGCAGCTGACTTGCTGACTAGCTTATGATGTTGGTCGCTATCATCATAGTCGCGTAATGTCGACGTTCGGTGTTCGGCTGAAGTCGGTGGCTCCTGCATTAGCAAGTTAGACTCTAGTTTTCGGGAGATAGCCAGACTCTCGGGATGCGTAGGAAGGCAAGGAGTGAAGAGGAGCTGGGCGGTGGGGGTCGAAACGTCGCCTCAAAGACAGACGATGGATCGGGACATACGTACCTATACCTTCCGGAACCAAGGCCAACCAGATGCAACTCGGCGTTTCCTTATGATAGGCTGCATTGTTGGTATTCCTGCTGGTTCTGGACTATCTCTCTAGGGCCTTCCCGAGTATCTTCGACTTGTTACCTCTTCTTGACCGATTCACTTTGTTTCACTATGCATTTCAATGTTTTCGCGTACTCATCAGTCACTATTTTCACCTGTAGGGGTAGTTTACTCGAAGGAGAGTAGTACGTGTTTGTGTGGGCAGCTCTAGGCGGTAGGTAATTTGAGTATCGATTCGGCGGTATAATCACGGGTTGTTGATCTGATCTTGACAAAAAATCGTGGAAAATCGGGTTTCCTTAGTGGATTTCGTAATGTAATATTTTGTAGCTGGGAAATAAATGAAAGGTCGAAGTGGAAATATTTTTCACATCGTCCACTATATGGAGCAGTTTGCTTGAAAGTTTTATGTACTGACGTTATTTCAATTAAAATTAAAGATTAGATAGGTATATTCTTATGATTTCAACACTTATTTCAGATTTCCAAAAGACACCTGATGGCCTTCAGTTTCAGAGTGCTGCCTGACCTACTCTTTGGGAAGGTGCATGATGACATGTTAATTTTTTTTTAACATTTTCTTAGTTCTCCTCTCCCCAGATAGCATAATGTCATTCATATAGAACGTTCATAGGATATTCTTCGAGAATATTTGAAAATTTTCAGAAATATTCTCACAATATGATACAGATATTCTAGGGATGTTTTATGAACATTTGGAATGGACTGTTTTAAATATTTTAGGAATATTCCTAGTATATTGAAGGAGAAGGAAGGAAATTAAAAAAAGCTCGCTCCGGTGGAGATGCGAACCAAAACTATCTTGTGATTGAATTTTACGAACCTGATGAAACCTTAATCACTTCGCCACGAACCTTATTGATAAATAAAATGAATATATTATAGCAAGATGAAAACACTGAATTAGTGGGATAAACAGCATTGAGGCTATAGAATATATATGGTTGTGTCATGGTAAACATTATGAATATTGATACAATATCATTTATATTGATACGATTCTGAATATTCCCAGAAATATTCAAGATTAATATTCCCAGAACATTGAAAAAGAATATTCTGAGAATATGTCAAATAGAATATTCTCATCCTGCATCGAATATTCTATGATCATTTTGAGATCATTATTCTATAAGATTATTTTAAATTAAGTATATTTGAACGTTGTCGTCAGAATATTCATATATACTTATAGTATATATAGTGCGAAATGGATCGACCGAGTATTTTTTAGAGAACATATATACACGTTTGGCAAGAATAATTTTCCTGTAGACGAACCCCGTGTGCATGGGCAGCGACGTTGCCATACCTCCTTCGAGCGAGTCCACTTTTCGGCACGACCAAAGGGATTATATCGTTTGACACACACGCCAGAGCTATTGACTCGAGTAAGTTGGGCAACGATGCCCATGAATTATTCATCTGTGAGGAAATTATTTCTGGCAGACGTCTGACGTGTATGTATACCGCGTTTTCCAGAAATGTTGCACTCAGTGTAAATCCATCCTAGAATAATAGATAATGAAGACAAAAAAAAATCAAAATGTTGACTGGCCTATACTGGAAGAGGATTGTTGCTCTTGAATCACTAGTACAAAGCGAAAAAAAAAAGAATAAGAATGACTTAGAATGAGCTTAAGCAAAAGAAGAAGAAGAACTTGCTTAACCTCAAAAAACATTAAAAATCAAAATATTCGAAACCGAAGTTTAAAAGTGAGATGTTCAAACCCAAAACTGCCCAAAAACACAAACTATTGTGTTGCTTTTTATTTTTTTGATCAGATTAATCGGTTTACTTTAATAATATATTCAGGCAAGTGTTCATCAAATTGAAAATGACACAAGAAGCTGAACATTACAATAATAGTGATATCGAATCTACAGAACTTTCCACAAGCAAATCATTGATGAAAAAGGAACCCAAACGTGGAATAATTTACTTGTCTTCTATCCCACCATACATGAACGTTTCCAAAATCAGGGAATTTTTTGGAGAATTTGGTACCATTGGAAGGGTATACCTACAACTGTCACAAAAAGGTTGTTGCTGGAGTTCATTTGAGCATGATACCTTATTACATTTTGTTTTATAGGATCAAAAAACGGTGAAAAGGTCAAGAAAAGGCGTAATGTTGCGAAAAAATTCAGTGAAGGTTGGGTAGAATTTGAAAGAAAATCCATAGCTAAAAAAGTTGCTATACATCTTAATAATACACAAGTTAGTAATAGAAAGAAATCTAAACAGTATGACCATATATGGAACATAAAATATCTGTCCAGTTTCAAATGGACACATCTTCATGAAAGGTAAAATTATCATAGATATTATAATTGGAAAATTCTCATTTTTTTTTTCATAGGTTGGCTTATGAAAAAGCAGCTAAAAGACAAAAACTAAGAGCTGAAATAACACTTGCAAAGAAAAAGAGCAACTTCTTCAGTGCCAATTTGGATAAGAATAAGAAAAATAAAACTGTTGTCAACAAGGAATATGAAAATATTGATACAAATGTTGAACAAATTGATACAGATGACATTGAACAACCTGATGATAGAGAGGAATTTTTGAAATCTCTCTTCTCTTAAAATTATACTTTATGATAACATTATTTTTTATTAAAACTTTGTTTAAATTACAATTACATTTGAGGATATTCATACCAGATTGTTTATTGAATATTTTTGAAAAATAGGTCTTATTACTGCTGGGCACTAATTTTTTCTTGTTCATTAAGTTTGTAAACTTCATTTCTTCCTAAAAATTTACCACCATCTAACTCCAAAGCAAAGTTATAATCTGTGGGGTTTTCAACTGCATGTTCTATAGACTCATCTATGTTTTCAGGAGTGATGAAATTCCTAGAGGATTCTTTTTCTTTCCTGACAATCCCTTCAATTTCAGACATTTTTTCTTCTGCTCTGATCATCTCCATTTCTATACGTTTTCTGGCAAAATCAAGTTCACTCTCAAGCTGTTCAGCTATGTACTTTTCTCTCAGGATTTTTTGAGTATCATTCCATTTGTTGTTTAATTCCATGCAATGTTTCAAGTCTTCTTCAAAAGCCTTCCGTTTTTCTTCAGGATCTTCACTAGCTAAAAATCTTGTGCAATGTTTGTAGGTCAGGTACCTCCTGAGAGATTTGATTTGGGTACGATAGTTATTGTGGAGCCTCATAAGTTCTTTACTCTCGTCTTCTGGTATTTTCGGTCGTACAGGTATTCTAAAGACTTTGGATTTGGCTGTCGGCATCCACAGTGGTTTTCGCATCCATCGGACTGTCTGGTAGTTTGTGGCTGTTTCCAAGGATGACATTAGGAGAGAATTCGTTACTCGAAGCATGTCTGTTTTTCTCCAAAAATATAAGGTCTTCAGTATCCTCGAATCCTGACAAAAAAGCAAAAATCATTAACATTAACCTCTCTTCTTCTTCTTCTTCGTTTCTTGGCCTTATCCAGGGCTGGGCATCCGCAAGGATCCATCTTCCTATTGTTAATTAACCACATGTATAAATTTTTCTTTTGTTAGTTTGTCTTCTTGTGACAAATGCACGTTGTGCCGAAGTGGTGTAATTCGATATGTCACTTGTCAGTTTTGACTTTTCGATTTTAGATGCTTTCGTTATTTTTGTTGATGATTGTCAGATTCTGACATTAGTGACATTTCTCACTCTGTTTCTGACAGTAATTTCTGAATTTTCGATATTCTGAATTCTGATTGAAAAAAAAAAAGGTAGTGATAGGATCGATTTCAAGTGTCCGAAAAGTGTCTGTGAATATTTTGCCCCTTCTGCTCTTTATTTCCTGTGTGCTAGGTAATAATTTATTTACTTGACAAATTGACAATGAACAACTTCAGCCCAACGGCAGGTAGGATAATATCGAATATACATTTAATACAAAATACCATGGTAGTGACGTTTTCATTTGTGGCACCGCATGATCGCCACCAATATCAATTTTTTTGTGCGAAAACGGATGTTTTCCCATGTTATTACCCTAATTACTATCAAAACATTATCGCACTTTGCATGCTGTTGTGACGTGTCATGCAACAATCTGTAAAATGCACCATTTCCATAAAAAAAAACAATTTTTCAGTTCATCAACTTTCAGTGGTAACACTCTCCACCACTAGTACTCCCGGTATAAATGAGTCAGGTCATTATATTATATTCTACCTATAATAATATTGTAATAATCACTTATTAATAATATTGATGTCCATCATTCATGTAACTCTGGTTGCATACATTTATGCTCCAGTGTTGATCTGAGGTTGAGACTGTTGAGGAAATTCAGGTGAAAGTGAATTTCAAAAAACGGTACTTCATGATGATAACTAGCAAACGTATGCACGATGATCTAGCAGCTGTTGATTTGGTAGTGAAATGTCAGAAATTTAGGATGTGTGAGAGCAAATTTGCAAAGCTAGAAGATGCTTGGTGATGATGATCACAGTTTGGATTATATTGAGGATCCTTATTTCAACCCTCAATCTACTACTTTAACCCCAAGCCTAGATGAACTTGACTTGGATGAATTTGATCTGCTAGAAAATGAATTAGATATCTTTGACCTGAGACAACTAGATTTTGATGAAATCAACAATAGTGAAAACTCTGTTCTAGAAGAAGAATCTGAGTCTGTGAATGTTGAAGCTGAATTTTTCAGTGTTAAGAGAGCTAATGCTATTGTAAGAACTTTTTTCAGAAATAAATTGAAGAGGCAAGTCCGTGTAACATACTGTGATCTCACCAAACCTTACCTTGCTAAGCTACCAAAAGATAACAATTTTAGAAAATATTTAGACATCTGTAACAATGGTAAGTTTGGAAAAATAGTTGTTTGAAAAAAGTACATTTTTTCTACACTGGGACTCTGGGATGTAGGTTCCTCACCACTGTACTCTAAATTTTTATCCATATCCTTTATCAGAGATATTCTGTTGCAGAGTATAAGCCATGTTCTAAATTTTTTTTCTCCTTTACACATACACATGATCTCTTTGTTCCACATTCAATGAATCATATTTTATAGAAGAAGCAATGGCTGGTATTGACCATGTGGCACCTGACCTATCTCATCTCTCAAATGAGGAGCGTGTAGAGCAGGAAAAACTTTGGCGTGAAGAATTGGCCCAAGTTGAAGATGAAATTGCTACCCTGAGAACTGTCCTTCAGGCTAAAATGAGGCGTAGTGCTGAGCTGAAACGCAATTTGGGCATAACTGTCTGGAAGGAAGTCTCAGAGGATATCAACCAAGGCATTAAAAATGTCAAAGAAAGCAATGTGTAAGTGTTCATAAGTCTTGATAATTTGAGGTGTTTATTTAAATCTGTCTGAGAAGAGAATGAGGTAGGTATTATCAAAGGCATTTAATTGAGTAAAAATTTTATGTTTTATCCAAAATAAAATGTTTTAGAAAAGTTTTAGACATTACTGATACAAAATCTTCTGACTCTGCAAATGATGTGGTTATGGTTCCATATCTTGATATTTATTATTGTTATTATTATTTTTCTAAAATTTGAAATCTTTGCTATTTAAATAAAAACTTTCCCCCTTTTTCTTGGTGGTGTAGATTTTTAGTAGATATGCATGAACAACTTTTCTTTCTTATTTTTTCTTAGATATCAATCAGTGGAAACAAAGGTAGGACAAGTGACCAAAGCTGTGACAGATGCTCCAATGTAAGTAGAGCATGCTTTTTAATGGTGAAGTGGTTCTCATTTTTTATCAACATTCCTTTCACTGTTGATGGTGATTTGGAGTCCAAAGCCTGGAAGCAAATTGGTTCAAATATACAAATAAAATTTTGTGCGAAAATTTTTTGAACTGAAAACTTTGAACTGTTGATTTTTTGCTCCTATTTCCCTTGGCAGCTACACTAACTTATGCCACCCAAGCTTTTCCTGCTCAAAAATAAAGGGCTTTCACGCTGGGTTGATAGTGACGTCAATATGTCAACACATACAGTGTTGCCAGTTGAAAGGAAATGACTGAATGACCAACCGCCCGAATATGGATATGTCTAGTGTTACGATCGTCGGACGTTATAATCTCGGTTATAATGTTTTTTGGAACCAACTCAAAAGCCGTCCATTTATGTTTCAAAATCAGCACTCGAAGTTGATAAATGAACTTCAATATTTGTAATTATTAAACCATGCACCTAAACAATATACTGCATATGAAATTTAATCATAATGAAATTCTTATAAAGAATAATAACTTGAAGAATGATTTATTATTGTTTTTGTTATTGAATTAATTTTTTTTTAATAAAACTGATCAGTATTCACATTTACTGAGTGAAAATAATAAAAACTTCGAATTCAATTTTGAGGTTATCTAATCGTTTTGAATGTTTTTCAAATACTATAAATTAGTGAAATGAAATAGAAATTCGATCAATTGATTTTATTTCGTGGGAACACAAATTATATTTGGATCATTTGGACAACACAAAATATCATTATTAATACCATCATTCAACTTACATCTCTCACAGCAGTCATTGGAAGTAATGGACCATCTTCTGCGCCTGAGCACTCAATGGTTTAGGCATTTTGAATAAATCGAATTTCACCTATGATCCACAAATAAATCACAAACAGTTCCTTGGCAGTACAAATTGTCAGTAATGAATAATTCAATGAGATCAGCTGATCACAACAAATCGCTTCTAGAAATGTCAAATAAATCTGGCATCGGTGTACAGTTTTGCCAACTTAAATCGATAACGCGGCTCGCCCATTTCGAAAGTTACTAGTATTTTTCGATGTGCAGTTTTGGCAGGACATTGTTACCAAGTATTGCGCAACTATTAACCCAGCGTGAAAGTAGCTAAATAACTCTTCTTTTGGGAAGTCAATGTGTGTATAATTTATTGCCAGTACATATCTGATTTTTTTGTTCTATCCGTCATTCAGTTGCCCCCTTACGAGCAACCCTCGGAAGTCTTCGAGAGTCTTGTGTGAGCAAGGAATGACGGGGGCCTTACCTTTTAACGTGTGATCCCAAACACTTTCTTGGGCCATCAGAAAAATTTCTGCAGTCGTTAGGAATTGAACCCACGACCGGCAAGCGAATGCGAATTAGAATACCGACACTCTGTCCGCACGGCTACCTGGCCCCAGGAAGGTTCAAATCTTTTTTTTTTGTTTCAGTTATCAGAAAACTTCTTCTATAATTGGTGGCATCACTGGCAACATTACAACCAAAATTGGACAAATGCGACATTCAGAATCCTTCAAGTCCATTGAAGAGAAAGTGGGTTCAGCTTATGAAAATGTGAAGGTAAAAAAATATGTTTTTCAATTGAAGGATTTTTAGTTATTTCTATATATTTTATCATTTCAATTATTTTTGTTCTAGGTCAAAGTAGTGAAATTGTTTGAGGTTGGTATTGAGTTACTATTTTATTATGGTACCCAGCCTAATGTTTCTAATATGATTCATCTACATTATAGCAATAAAACAATCCCCTAAAAAATTTGAAATATGAATGAACTACTTCGTTTTGTTTTTAGTTTGTGCAGTTCTTGATTTTTTCATTATGTATTTTTGCTATGATGGTGGAATACATCCTAATATTATGCTGAGCTACTAATGATGAATAAACTCAGTGGGCCTCTTTTCTTCTTGCAATGATGCTAGAACAGAAATAATCCATCAACAATAACCCACAACAATAAAATACAGGGTGATTCAAAATTCAATGTAAATATTTCAAGGACATATTGTTGGGATTGAAAAGAACACATGTTTATATGAAGAATAAGTTTTATTTTGATGCCAACAATGCATCCAACAATATTTACATCGCATTTTGAATCACCCTGTATATTGGTATGTTTCATAATTTATTTCAATACCTACTTAATCCATCACAACTAACATTACAGGATAAAGCTTTTGGGACTTTCATGTCAATTTCAGTGCTACTTTTTCAATTGCAATAAAAAAGTTCAGAGAGAAAACATGGCTTCCCCATCTATCTTTGTCTTCAGTGTTTCAACGGAAAACAATGGAAATTTCATGTTGCCAACACTAGAAATGTGAACGAATGTAGAAGATGACCTACTCCAGTAGATTAATTCATCTATTGATTGAATTCACGGTTATTCAAAAAGGTGTAGTTTTCAATAAATAATCCAGACCAAAGTCGTTTCAAAAAATATAAGTTGAATTTTGAAATGATTGGAATCAAAATAAAATTCTAATTTGAAAGGTTTCACTACTGACTACTATCTAGACCGCTATATTTCTCATCCAAATTGCTCACCTGAAAACGCTTTTGTCATTCCTGACATCGAGACATTAGAAAGAGTAAGATATTTGACAGGTCTTGAATGCCCATGCTTCATTGAACCAAGCTCTATCTTGTTAATGAATGGGCTTCCATCTTCTGTCCTCTGGCATTAGCGGTATTGTTAGTAATTTATGGCGGCGGATTTTACACCAAACCTACCAAACCTTGCTGATAGCTGAGTTTTTCTTGAGGTTATAATTTCATTGTTTTCTGTTTATTTCTTTATCCACGGTCTAGTATATTTGCGGCGCTGTTTCCGCTGTATTCTTGATTATTTACACTAATAAGTTGATCGTTCTCTTAGTTGTTGGCTGGATCGAAAGCAGCGCTAGCGAAATTCAGCAAAATATGGCTGATTTGTCTATACTCTCGGAATCTACAAGTTGCCGAACTATCTAGGAATATCCTTTTCTCAATCACGAACATTGATGAAAGCTTTCAAATGAAAATATTTCAATCCGGCCCGGATGCGACCCTCCATCTTGCATAAATAAGAACATGAACATAACTAAAAAAAACTTCGGATATATTCTGCATTACCGATCTCTGTCCTTCGCTATCCAACAAAAATTAGTTCACCTTGTTGCTCATATTATATACCGCCACCTGAATAGATGTTCTGGCTTCATCGTTGTTATAAGTTTCCTAAATGTACTTGACACTGCTGTTTTGACGTTTTTTGTATATTAGAGTACGTACACTATGACAAGCACTGACAATCAGACATAAGCACAAATAAATTGATGGAATAAGCGGGAACATGGCGGGAACTGGCAGTACACGAACGTACATGACGTAAATATCAAAGGTTTGACAAATTGAGAGAATTAGAGAAGAAATATGCAAGTTTGTGCAGTTTCCAACTGTGAGAACACGAGAAATCAAATCCAATCTATTCGGATTTCCATCCGATAACGTAATTCTACAAAAATGGAAACAGAATATGATGCGGCCGGCATGGAATATAGGTTCAGACCACAAAGTATTCAAATTTCTTGGTAGGATATAGAACATTTTTCAACGCATTTTCATCAGGTACACTTCAGAAGATTTGATGTTGAAGAATAGGATCGTATTGAGAGAAAGAGTCGAACCCACAATTTATAAACTGAGCGAGTATCGAAAATAACCTTATTCCAATTCAGAACCAACAAGAAACGAAAAACTTGCAGATATTGAAATTCATTTCGAACATATTTTGAAAGAAAAACAAATAGAAGAAAAAAATTGAGTTGGAAAATAAGTTAAAGCAAAATGATTTTGATACAAAAGTCAGAGTTAGCAGATTTCAGAACTATTACCTAAAAATTATTTCAGATTTGAAACAAAATCAGCAAATATCTTCAGAGAAATACAAGGAAATTGAACAATCAAATATCTAGTCAATTTTGAGCAAAATTCATAGTTTCGATGAACAATATCATGAAAAACTTTTGCATTTGAAAAACCAAATGGAAGATTTTAATAACAAATTGAATAATATTAGTGAAAATGTTGCTTTATATGAGCATGATTCATGTTCATTTATTAATTACTTATTACCTACCACTCTTGTACAAGTGAAATTGTTCCATAGGAAATAAAAGTATGTTTCATTGGTTGAAATTTATCAGTTTTTACCCCATTCTGTGATGAACAAATATTCAACTGAACGTATATATACCTACAAATAAGAGACTTATTTCATAGGAATAGTGTATGTATTTCGTTAGTATATATGTACATACCAACTTGATATCGACCTCCATTGAGGTCCTTCAGCCTTAACATTCAATATTTCGAGATGAAATAATTTTCTTATCAATTTATCGTACCCTTTTACCTACTCGAGGAGGCGCTATGCACTCCCATACACAAATCAAAGACAGGGAAAGATATATGGATGTACTCTTCCCAGGACTTGTGGAGGAAGGAAGATGCGAGGGTCCTTTATCTAAGCGAAAAACGTATTCTTGTCCTTGTCTAGCAAAACATATGATTTGCTTCAAAATCGTTTGTGGTTATGTTTGATTGTCACTGCTGGTCTAGTGTCCGTACTCCAATATACAAAAAACGTCAAAACAGCAGTGTCAAGTACATTTAGGAACTACTCTGCCTAACAAAAAGTGGTTCACCTTCTTACTCATAGATACCGCCACCTGAATAGATGTTCTGGCTTCATTGCTCTCATAAGTCTAGTTCATCTTGTTATTGTAAATAATCGAGGGCTATGGTTGATTGAATTCACAATCACAATTATTTGAAAAAGTGTAGGTCGTTACAAATAATAATTTTTTTCAGACCAAAGTTGTTTCTCGCTCGGGCTCCCAGCAGAGCCTAGACGATGTGGGTCGCTCCAGGTCAGGCTCAGCCGTCACGAGCCCCACCATTCCCGAGGAGAAACCATTGGCATAGGATGAGGAACTGTTTATCTTTAGTTCTTTAAGAAAAATGCCAACCGAAAATGCCTTCTTAGCTCGCTAGGGAAATCGATTCTGAAATTTCTCAAAAGGGTAGGTTCGGTTCCAGCTTTCAATAGTGTTGTACTTCATTTCTACTTGTAACTTTTCGATACGATGGGATTTTCGTTTTCTGTCGAATGGTGGCGCTTTTCACTTATCACTTGTTGCATAACCTCACATAACCTCTAAGGGAAAGAAGTGAATGCCACTTGTACGTTTTATGTCACCGTTACTCACAGGAAAATTAATCAGTTTGATTTCTCTTTGGGGTTAAAGGCTCAATAGGTCAAACAGGGTGATTCAGATGTTTACAGTAGAACCATCACCAGATAACTGCAATACCCTATATAAAGGTTGGTGTTTGATTAGAAAGTAAAAACGTATGTTAATGTTCCTACAATTGGAGGATTGAATTATAACAATCCTGAAATATCTTGGTGAATTACCCCTAAGAGCATATAATTCAGTTGGATATGTCAATAAATCTGTAATTACAGTGTCATGTCAATTTGCAATAATTAGAGTTCATACAGATATTCCGGACAAACGTTATTCTAATTCTACAAATACACATTATTTCTTAGCAGGGTTTTAGTCACTCATGGGAAACTTTCCAGTGGCTAAAAATCCACTCAATTGTTGGATAAAATTAATATTTACTTTCAACTTTGACATCCTCAGTCTGGAACTGAAATATGCGTTTCTGCGAATCATTTAATGAGACATCTGAATCACCCTGTATAAGTTATTCAATCCCGGTGATTTTCGTGCGATTGTTGAATAAATGAAATTAACTATTCGGTCTGATTTACTGATCACAAAGTTTATGATTCACCGAAATGATAGGACAAATAAAAGAACATTTATATTCCTTGGTAGAAAAACTTTGAAATTCGTTTTGTGTACAAACTTCTATTTCTTTATTTCCGTTAGCATTCCTAGAGTAACTATTCCAATGAGATTTGAATATTTTCTAAAAATGAAAACAAAGCAGTTGCTAGAATTTTCCTGAATATTAAATTGTGCAGTTTTCCTACCAAGATATTTTGTACAGTTTAAGTTTAGTTGAATAATAAAACATGTGTAAAAAATGTATTTTTTCATAACTATATGATTAGCTTTAAGAATTAATTCCTCTTGATGTATTTTAATACCTAAAAGGTCTACTATCTTCATAAATATACTATAATTTATTTGAGATAATGTGTTATTTTCCTCCGTGTTAAGGTCAGTGATCAAAATGAGAAATAATGTCACAGTCGGTTATTTTTATCAAGTTATTATTTAAGACAGCTGAGGTACACAATAAAAATTTCCTATTTGCTAAAAACACTTATAAAATGAAATCTTTATCATTTTTAATATTCACTTAGTCTATAAAATTAAGCAGTAAATAGTTCATGTTAAAATCATGAGAAAGCTACCTACATACAGGGTGTTGATGCATTCACGTGACACAAGCTCAAGAAAGATTCCTTCAATAAAAAAAAGAACAAATTTCTCATATAGGACCAGAATCTTTGAAATAAAACATCCTATCTTAGATATTACCAGAGAGGAAACATGTTTTCTCTTTTAGTTCTCTTGCCCTGTGCCCACTAAGTGAACTTTGAGAGTGATTTGAGAGGTCCAACAAATTGAAACTTTTATTCAAATCAACCATTTGTGTGTGCTGAGGAACACCCTGTGTAGCGCTAATAATAACGAATAACAAATGCGCACATATTTCACAAAAACTGAGTGGGAGAGTAAAATATGGTACACATCCATTTGCGACTAGAGATCCTATTTGAAATTCAAGTCTTCATATCACAATACATTTCAGTAGGATCACAATATCCTCTTCAAAGGCATTTTGAGAAAATAAAAATATTGTCAGGTGCTTAGGCATACAAGACCAAACCCAAACATCAAGTCAGTACCGAGTGACATGTTATGAACTGTTCTATTTTTGCAAGACAAAAAATATACAGTGTGTCTCATTTCAAACGGCCCCCCCTCTATATCTCGGCTATCAGTCGTGCGATCTTTACCAAATTTGTATCGGTATGAATTATCATCAATATGACCAGTTCTTCAAAGACAAACATAATTTTAGACAGTGCCGTGCATTTTTATTGAAATGAATAGGGGTCAGTTTCTTATTAAATCATATTAGGCATTTTTTCACAGGAAAACTGACCTCATAATATTGTTCTCCATGGTTTCAAACCCACATATGTGGATTTTCATAAGATGCCTATGAAGGGTTTCGAAAAAACAGGCACATCTAAACAGCATTTTTGCGATCGTAATAATTATTTACTGGGAAACGGTGAGTGATTTTCCACCTACCAGAGCCATTGAACGTCCCAAAATTCGTAGTTGATTTGAAATCACTATTCGAGACAGAAAATGAAAAAAAAAATGAAGCCAATCCTGTTAATTCGGAATTAGGTGATTTTTTGTATATGGTAGTTCGAAAGCATGGGGAACAATAATATGAGGTTAGATTTCCTGTAAAAAAGTGCCTAATATGATTTTATGAAAAATCGACCCCATTTTAGTTCAATAAAAACGTACGGCACTGTCCAAAATAATGTGCACCTCTGTAAAGCTGATCATATTGATGGTTATTCATACCACACCAACTTTTATTGGAATCGCATGACTGATAACTGAGATATAGAGGGGGGGGGGCGTTTAAAGTGAGACACGCTGCACAAAATAATGTTATTCATAAACTTTTTGCTGTTATTCTCTCAAATAGTAAAACTGCATCTGTTGATTCGGGAAGGAGAAATTTGTAAGGCTGGAACTTCATATCATGTAACCCGGTACTTATGCCACGAAAACAGTGTTTTTTCAAATAAAAATTAAACATTCGATGTAATCAATGCACAAGTTTTTTTTTTCAATTGTGGAACAAAATACCACAAGATTTAGGCAAACTATTTACAAGAAGTCTGTAAATAAATACAGTGCATGAGTAGAGAATACATGATTTTTCGCCATACTGTCAGTTTTACTTGTTCTAGTTCGGCTTAAGAAGGGAACATCTTTCAAATTTTAACATTCCTTTTGTAGATATGATATAATAGTGCTATTCAAAATGAGCACATTATTCCACGTATGTAGCCAAACGAATTAAAATGACATAAAACTTATTTGTGATATATTCTTTTAGATTGAATGTTTCATTTTCACTTCACAGAGAAGCACTGTCACTGTGTAAGAAATAAAATCAGAACATAAAATACATAAAGAAGATGCATCAGAATGACATCGATCTTATTTATTTAACTATGGTCCATTTCCCCCATGAGTAGAGACTATCAAAAAAAAAGCTCATAATCACAACCCTGAATCATTAAATTGTGCCTCTGAAGTCAAATTTTGAGTGTGTGCTTTTATGAAAATCAGTCAAAAATATTTGATCCAAGTAATGGGAATTTTTGCCCCGATGGCAAACGATGGAGACTTTTGTACAAAAGTTTTCGAGGTATCTGATTAAATGATATGAATTAGTATTATTTTCATCAGTAACACTAAATTTTGATATATGCTTATGAAACTTCATGTTCTATTGGTACTTACACTATTTCCATAATTTCATTTAATGATTAATTTCCCACTGCAGAAAACCGGTATACCAAGTTTATTTTTATACTCTTTATACACACTTGTATCATATTATTTCAAGAAATGCTGAAAAAATGTTCATACACGGTAGGTAATTGATTTTCTGACGCTCATAAAAAAAGGTAATATAAATAATATAAAAATACCAAGTTTCCTGACATGAAATGATAGATAATTCTCATTTTTTTGTAGAATCTGATATATTATTATCCAGGACTCAATTAGCACAAAAAGCAAACTTTTCCGTTCATATTTTATCGACATCAATTCTGAAAACAATGGAGCGGGGAAAAATCGTCTCCCTGTAAGAATGCCTAGGAAAATGGACCAAGTAGAAGAATCGACGTCAACATTCAGACATGAGCACCCTTAAAATACATGCACAACCAGAGTACACTATCAATATCAACATACATAAAAATAACTATTCCATGAAGAGAATAGGGAAATACAAAAATATCACATTTTCTAGACAACCAGAATAATTTTAGTGTTGTTCAGGTTTTTTTACTTGATTTGTTTTTCCCAGTACTTTTCAAGGATAAAAACTGAAAAATCATTGAAGATGATTTAAAATCCATCAATGTCTCACCAATCATAATCTATGTTTGCAAGTTTAGAGTAGATCTGACCAATCTCACCAAGTTATTTAAAGCAGGATATATTCTTCATTGGAATGTAGTCAGATTCACTTTTGGTATCTGCAAACCTGAAATACAACATTCATTTCAAACAACCATGCACAAATATAAAAACATTTTTGCAACAAACTCCATATAGCACACAAATAGGGAGGGTGAAAAAGAAAAATTACATTATATCCCAGAAATTTTATTTTCGCTCAAATACACAAACATTACAGCTTTCACAGCCAATATATATAATTTTCAGACCATAATTTTTTTAACAAATACAAGGACAAACTAATCCTCACTCAGCAATAGCACAAATCACCCTGTATAAGTTCAGAATGGAAATAGCAAACTGAGGATACATTTATTCCATGTGGATCAGCTAAACATTTCTGTGATAATATTACTATACTATCTATTATTTTTCAACATATTCTAAAGACCCTACAAGTATATTAATATTTTTATACAAGTTTTATAATGTTAGTCAGTTTCTAAAATAAAGTAAAACTAATTGGATAACTAGATTTTCAAAACCATCACCTTTTACTTGTTAGAATTTATTAATTTGGAACTCCGTCTTGCTGGTCTCTTGAAAAAGGAAAAACAGTTATAATCAAAGCTGATATTCAGAAGCACATTAATGAATGGGATAGAAAGCAATTTTTTTGTCATTTTGAGGTTGTTCCTTTCTCAAGAACACTGACATCTCAAAGTATTAGAAAACGTTGTTTTTTATTTTTCAAAATAAGAGCTCTACTGAAAATACTACATTTAAGGATAGCTATGATTTGAATATGAAAAAATTATTTTTCCACTTCAACTAAGTCAATATTTTTTATGTTGTTCATTTCGCAAAAAACTCAAAACTTAAATGAAGAACTACTAAGCCTGTAATTATCATAAGGAAAAGACTAGTGGCTTCGTAAAATGACAAAAAAATAGTAAAACAACACATAAGCATTACAAAAAACAGAAATGGCAAATCAGGTTTGAGAAAACAGAATTTGAGAGATTAATTCAACTGAAACATCATCAAAAAATCAACACCCACAAATTACCTTGAAAGCCTGGATCGAATAATGATAAAAAAGTAGAAAAAAAATCAAAGCTATATTGTTCATGTCAAAAAGTATTTTAGCCATCACTTTTTTACGAAGGCGTAGAGGGGCCACCGCAATTATTTTTTATAATTCTGACTTAGTATCTCGGAATTTCGACTTAGTATCTCGGAATTATATAATTCCGACTTATTATGTCGGAATTCTGACTTAGTATCTCGGAATTAAGTAATTCCGACTTATTATGTCGGAATTCCGATTTAGTATCTCGGAATTATATATTTCCGACTTATTATGTCGGAATTAGGACCTTGCGGTGTTGTGACCATATAGTTAAGTGTTACATACCTATGTATATACCTATACTGTAAGGACGACTCCCGAATAGCTAATTGTGAATAATCCATATACCTAATACATTTATTAATGATAATCTATAGCGTGATGAAATTAATTCGAGAAACAACCCTGGTAGGAGCTCGAAATCAATGAAAGAATGCTATACTGTACGAATAGTATAAAATTCATTGCTCTAAATAAACTATACGGTTTTCTGGAAAAACGGTGCTGTTATCTCTAGCGGCCCTGAAGTGGTTAGGCGACCGCGTCATTGATATTTCTCTAGTTTCTAACCAGTGGTGATCCACAGTGATCCAGAGAGTGGTGAAGGGGGTGATAATCCAATCTAAGCTTCGCCGAAATATCGATATTTACCTCTTGTGTTATTTCATATACAGAGTCGTGCACAAAAAACATTCAGTCCTATATTTCTTGTGAATCATTCGAGATAGGATATTGAAATCTGGTGGGTAGCAAGTTTATCAAATTGATTATTCATTGACAACTTAATTTTCCCGGTTCAACCGGAAACAACCCCAACTTGATTTTTAAATAGGCCATCCTCTGTACCCATATTTTTCAATATATGGATCGTTTTATTCGTTTTACACACATTAGAGACTTTTTCATCAAAATGTCGAGATATATAGGGGAGAATTAATAGTTGGGGTAACTTCCGGTTGAACCAGAAGTGATGTAATAAATGAATGTTCTGTCAATAAACGGCAATTTGATATACTTGCTACCCGGTAAATATCAAAATCCGACCTCGTATAATTCAGAGGTAACAGCACTCGCTGATTTTTGGGCATATTCCTCTGGATAATTGAAAATATATTCGTATATATTATACTTTTTATATTCATCGCCTTCCCCCCCTAAACTATACCCTGGATCTGACACTTTTTTGAAGATCAATTTTCGTTGTAGAAAAACGTTTTAGTGACAACTATCATCGCATATATCCTCTTCAAAGATAATTCATAATCGAATGACGGCCGCTGGTAACAGCTCCATTCTCCATAGAAAACCGTAGCTATAGGGAACTGTTTCTGTTTCCAAGATTATAAGGATAGACTAGAGTTAAGGATAGCCCGAATAAGCATGAATTCATTACTTCCCTAAATTAACCACTGTGCCCGAAGGATCCTAGATAGCACAATGTCATCCATCGAATATTCTCCGAGAATATTTGAATATTCTCACAGTATTCTCACAGTATTCTCACAATATGATACGAATATTTCAGGGACGTTCTATGAACATTCGGACTGGACTTTCTCGAATATTCTAAGAATATTCCTAGCATATCATAGGAAAAGAAAGGAAAGTGAAAAAAACTTGCTCCGGTGGATAAACGAACCAACTTTCTTGTCATCGAATATTTACAAAACTTGAAACGTTTTTCAGTGCGCTACGAACCATAGTGATGAATGATATAAATAGCAAGAAGTCAACACTTCATTAGTAGAATAATTAGTATTGAGGGTAGAGAATAATAGGTTTCATTGGGTCAGGAGAAACATTATTAATATCGATACAAGAATAACATCAATATCATATTTTGATACGATCATTTCTGTATATTTCCAGAATATTCAAGGAGAAAATGTTGAGAATATGTCAAATTGAATGTTCATAGAATATTCAAAAAGAATGTGTCAAATTGAACGTTCATAGAATATTCGTAGCAGGATGAGAATTTTCTTTGAACATTCCGACAATATGCTATCAGTATATTCTGAAATAGGTATATCTGAACGTTATCAGAATATTCATAGAATATTCTGTGCTGTCTGGGTATGGTCACAACACCGCAATGTCCTAATTCCGAGATAATAAGTCGGAATTTCAACATAATAAGTCGGAATTATATAATTCCGAGATACTAAGTCGGAATTCCGACATAATAAGTCGGAATTATATAATTCCGAGATACTAAGTCGGAATTCCGACATAGTAAGTCGGAATTACATAATTCCGAAATACTAAGTCGAAATTCCGAGATACTAAGTCGGAATTATAAAAAATAATTGCGGTGGCCTCTCTACGCCTTCGTACTTTTTCACTGACATTCAATTTGAATGTGAGGTAGCTCTTTCAAGGCCTTTACAATCATCATCATAAATTCAATATGCAGATACATTGTTCAATAAACTAGATAGCTGAGAGAGATTAAAGTCCTATTTGTTTAATTTTTATTCGAGAGAATTGACTTGAATCTAAGAAATTATCAGCCGAAATTCATGAATCATTTTTCGATTATTTACGCCCGGTGACAGGTGGTTGAATTGAGGTCTTTTCTAGCTTGACCGAGAGAGAGGAAAATTCTCTCCTCTTCCATCTCTCTCTGCAATGCTACCAACGTGGCCGCATTGAAATATAGAGAGGTCCGATAAATCTTTCCTTGTCTAACATCTATTTTGTGCCACACAACTATTTTTCAATTCAGCAGAGTGTCAAATTTAACGATATCAACAAATTATGTCAAAATAAGTATGTTATAAATCAAAATTTCATTTCGAAAATTCTAAATGTCATCAGTCAATGACATTCATGACATAGACATATCACGTCATTATAATATCGAAAATAGTTCAGTGGCGCAGACTAGAGGTTAGACAAGGAAAGATTTATCGGATCTCTATATATTTCAATGCGGCCACGTTGGTAGCATTGAAGAGAAAGATGGAAGAGGAGAGAACTTTCCTCTCTCTCGTTCAAGGTAGAAAAGAGCTCAATTAGATTATAGGTAGTCATGTAGAAATTTTCATAAACGGATTTCATATTAATGAATTCGTCTCAGGGCAAAATTGATCTGAAGGATTAGTTGAGAAAAGTATGTTGTGAAACTACTTGAGAAAGCTCAATTGAAATTAATCTATAATGAATGTTTTTAAACAATATCATGTATTTCTTGTTGTAGTGATGATAAAAATCTATTCTACAACTTTAGTTTGCAAGACATTCTATTTTACCTGGCATGAATCCGGAGAAAAAAACTTACGTAAATTACCAGTTTCACTGAAATTCAATTTGAATGTGAGGTAGCTCTTTCAAGGCCTTTACAATCATCCTCATTAATGCTTATGCAAATTCAATATGCAGATGAATTGTTCAACAAACTAGATAGCTGAGAGAGATCAAAGTCCTATTTGTTTCAATTTTATTCGAGAGAATTGACTTGAATCTATGAAATCATCAGCCGAAATTCATAAACCATTCTTCGATTATTTATTCTCGGTGACAGGTGCTTGAAAAAGATTATTGATAAATAAATACAAATGTTGAAATTTTGATAAACAGATTTCACATACATTTCTTGTTGTGAATATAAAATTCTATTCTATAACTTCAGTTAAGAAGACATTCTATTTTACCCGGTATATAAATCCTCAAAAAAAAACAAGGTAAATTAACAATTATAATTTCAATAAAACTCACTGCTGTCATGAAGTAATTATAAATGAGGTTAGGATGCTCTTCACCAACTGATCAATGAATATTGAAAGTAAGATAAGCTCAACCTTCAACTCAACTAAGCTTTGGAGGTAGGTACAAAGAAAGACTTGGACATCATCTCATCATCACTGAAAATAATCCCAATTGAATCTAAAAACCGATAAACCCGAGAAAGATAAGGTGAAATTTTATGAAGGAAAAGACATACTTTTAACTTGAGGAAGGCTTTAAAAAAAAGTCATGAATTAATTCAAACTTTCTCCAATCGAAACGAATCGCATGATTACCTTTAATTCAAACTGAAAAATCCTATGGCAACCTGTCTATCACAGACAACTAACAACCGTGGAACGTCCACAAGCGGAAAACTAACTTTTCTAACGAAGATTCTTTGAAGGATTGCATATGTATGTCGGCGCCGTTAGATTTAAATCATCATTATTGGAAAGAAACTGTATCTTGCTATTTTTACTATTTTGAGTTACCGTAAACTGATTATGTGATGGTCGTGTTTGGAGACCACTATTATCCTTATAAGATTTGCCATGTTTAGGCTAGGATACAAAAGAACTTGCTTCCTATTAAAGTACGGTTGTAGTGATTGATATCTTTATTATTAGTGATCATGCGGTTCAGCTAGTCATTTAGATTGTGATTGATTCAACTATTAGGTCTGGTCACCCGGGTGATTTGATTACAATGTAATTTAAATACGTCTCTATCAATGAGAATCGGATATTATGTATTTATTATTTTTCATTGGATCAATAGTTACACATTGTTTTTTTTATTGTGTTTAGGTAAATGAAATTCGATTCTTCTCAAAGTGAATTAATTAAAAGAAGTCCGAATTAATTTAAACAGTCGGACTCCTTTGACTTTTTTGCAGAAAAGTCGTGACTAACTCCAACCCTGATATCAACTTGAAGGCGCCTAAAAGTTTTGGAAGAAGCATAGAGATCACCCCTGAAACAATTTCAACTAGCTGTCACCTTTTATGCAAACATCGCCAGCGTGGATAGAAATAAAACATACTTTCAATTCCTTCTGTCATTGTCTTCAGGCTTACAACGTAAAATGAAGAAAATTGATTCGAAAACAAAAAATTTTAAGACATTACTAACCCCAATATATAGAAGGGAAGAATAGATTCTTCTTCTTCCAAAAGATGGCATCTTGTCTTGCGACATATAGCCAATCCTTATTACGGAGAATCCGTCTCCATCCGGCCTGGTTACCGGCGTAGATAATAAGGGGTTTTGTTCTGCCGAGCACCCTGGTGGTCTCACTGGAAGTGATACCAAATATGCTCTTATTTTATCATGGCAACCTCACAATCACATGTTTTTATGTCACCACTCTTCTTCTTCCTTTCGATTTGTATGGCCTTAGCTACCTGATCCCACTCTTCATAACACTGAGGATAGAATAGTCTTCTTCTAATTTTGCTTAAACAATATTCGAGTTTCATCACCTCACGTTGAAACCCTGAAGGTATAACAGAAGGAAAAGACACACTTTCAACTTAAAGGCGCTTAATATTTTTGAAAGAAATCAAAGTGATCACCCCCGAAACAATTTCAACCAGCTGTCACCGATTATGCAAACATCGAATTCGCAAACCGCCCCGCCCCCTATCTGCGAGCTATGGAGTGTTCGCGGTCGACTCACATTGAGAGGTAGCCGCGAGCCTGGCAACGCCTTCTGCCTATGAGGTAGGCGACGAGCACCATCACGACTAGGGCTGCCAGGACGCAGCCCACCACGATCGGCACCACGTCGTTGGTCACGGAGCCGTCGCAGTCGATAGCTGAAAGAGAGATGAGTAGTGAAACCAGTGATGGTCAGGGTTACCAACTTCATGATGATAAACATCGCATCACTCATGAAAATAATCGCCGAAATAGCGGGGTACGGACAGATCCTCGTCTCCTCTCACTCTAAAGTGTTTGTGAAACAGTTATACAGTGTGTCCCACTTACCATGCTCACCATGGGTATCTTTTTAACGGTGAGAGATACGAGGTCGGTTAAATGACACCAAATGTGGAGTTTGTCAAGGTCAACTATAATGTGAAAAAATATTTCGATAAAATCTATTCGTTTTTGTTTTATACGCAAAAAACCGATTTTGATCATTTTCATGTCTCATCCATAACTTCTTTATTTATGAAAATATTCAAATAGAAATTTCACATTCTCATAGCAGTTTTTCGAAGAGATTTCGAAAAAAATATAAAATTTATACCAACTCTTCTAGAATTCGAGATATCAGCACAAACTTTAGTTTTTCAAATGAAGGTCATAGCTCACTATGACTTAGTTACAAATAACTTTTTTTTCTCTTACAGATTATATGTCGCAGTAATAGTTTTGTGTTGATAACAACGGAGTTATTGTCATTTATACAGAAACAAAAAATTTTTTGGAAGCCGCCATCTTGAATTTATACATTTTAACAAAAAAATCATGATCTCCGACCTCAAAAACCCTCACTTAACAATTCTGAATGGAATCGGACCAAATCTTGTCCGCCGTCTTGGAGCAGCCATTTTTTTTAATTTCAACAAAAATTCCATAATTTATTGTCACCGAAATTATGAACATCTGCCAAATCTCAAGTTAATCGGAGTCATGGAATTTTTGTTGAAATAAAAAAAAATGGCTGCTCCAAGATGGCGGACAAGATTTGGTCCGATTCCATTCAAAATTGGTAAGTGGGGGTTTTTGAGGTCGGAGATTATGATTTTTATGTTAAAATTCATAAATTCAAGATGGCGGCTGCCAAATAATTTTTTGTTTTTGTATAAATGACGATAACTCCGTTGTTACCAACACAAACTATTACTGCGACATATCATCTGTAAGAGAAAAAAAAGTTATTTATAACTAAGTCATAGTGAGCTATGACCTACATTTGAAAAACTAAAGTTGGTGCTGATATCTCAAATTCTAGAAGAGTTGGTATAAATTTCATATTTTTTTCGAAATCACTTTGAAAAACTGCCATGAGAATGTGAAATTCCTATTTGAATATTTTCATAAATAAAGAAGTTACGGAGGAGACATGAGAATGATCAAAATCTGTTTTTTGCGTATAAAACAAAAACGAATAGATTTTATCAGAATATTTTTTCTCATTATAGTTGGCCTTGACAAACTCCACATTTGGTGTCATTTAACCGACCTCGTATCTCTCACCGTTAAAAAGATACCCATGGTGAGCATGGTAAGTGGGACACACTGTATAGTTCCATCCTTAGTCAATTCTGGGGATAAACACTAGATTCTTGACATTTGTTGTTTTTTAGGTTATATTGCGGTCATTGGCGTATCATACGTAATTTCCATATGGAATTCCTGATACAACTATACCAAGATATAGATGAACAATCCTCTAGTTTTAGAGTTGCAATAATTGAAAATTACTGGAATCGCCTCTATTTTTGATTGGTAGTACTAGCATACCAAAACTTGATGAATAGTACTAAAAATAGTACAATTGTACTAGCAGAAACATCCCCGAGTGAAACCAGTGTTGTTATACAAGGTTGAGTCCAACAATTTGTCCTTAAAATATTTACATCGAATTATGAATCATCCTGTGTGGTTTCCACGAAATTTCCCTCAGCAATTGCTGAAAATTCCCACTTTTCTGTGAAAAATTCCTCCCATTAATGAGCGGCAAATTTGAATGTATAAACGTCCATTTTTCGATTTTGTTTCCACTATTATTATGTTACAGGTGTCATGAAAGGATTGAAATGATAATTGGCTGGACTATGCATTTTTTATTTTTTGGATGGAATCAATCATCACTCAATTCGCGAAAATCACGAAGTGTGCGGCCTCTGGTGGCTAACTGTACAAGTCTTGCGAGTATGAACAACAAATATGGCGACCATTGTTTTGAATTTCATAAATATGTGTTTTATTTGAAAATAATTCATTTGTTGAAGTGCATATTCCAGAACCTCATTTGTCCCTGATGAAAAGACTCGAATTATTGCATGAACTTTTATTGTTTACAATGAAGAAACGAGTACCTACCTTATAATAATATAATATACATTTGAATTAGAATCATTGTATAAATGTTGGTTGTAATGATTCGATCTTGAGAATAACTTGAAGTCCTCAATTGCTGGAGATCCTTGTTTACGTAAATCGATAATATTGTTCATTCTGAGCAGCCTCTCCAACCATATCTTCTTTTCCAACCCCTTCACTAGAATTCCATCTCCTTCATAAGAGCCAGTGATATTTCTTGATGAATTCAATTATTTCTTCATACCCATACCATATTGTTGTAATAGCTGATTGCTTGTATGGTTCCATTCCAGTCCATGCAAGTGTTGAGTGGACCATTCCGATCATTCCTTATGTTTGAAAACTGTGGGATTGTAGTGTGATATCAATGATGAATACCACCATTGTCCACATCAAAATGGCAATTTCTCTGCACAAAAAGTAACTTTTTCCATACTGGAAACCTTGTACGTATTTCAAGAAGTCAACTCATTATTCACTATTTTGCAAAATGATTTGGAAATAACCAATTTGCAATTAATGCATACGGCAATGTTTTTGTTGTTCATACTCAGTTGGAAATTTGACGTTGATTTGACGTTAAATAGAGCCATCTATTGGTTCGTGATTTTCGCGAATAACCATTCAATTCCACTTTTATTTTAGTTTTTTTCGGTCGATTGCTAAAATCATTGATATTGTGACGGAGATTTTCGAACGGGCTATAAATTAACCGCAAATAAAAACTGCCATCACGACTTCCTCAGTAGGGACAGATCATAGCACAGTTGCCATAATGTTGAAATACAAATGACAACTTCATTCAACTTTTTTCATTTAGAATAACTCAGTTACCAAGTCAGTGAACGAAATGTATTCAGCTGTCTCATTCCTCGACTCATCACAGATCTATTATTACTTACCCGAGTCGAAAGTGTGTCCGGTAGCATTACGGAAGGCCTGGAACTGCACATGGCTGACGTGAAGATAGGCGATAGTGTCATTTTTGTTTTCTTCCGTTAGGTTAAGGGTCTGCACTTTGGCACACTTGTAGGAATTCGACAGCGGCGTTGAGAATTCGGTAGTGTTGTGAACGAGGGTGTAGTTTTTCGGTGCTATAAAAACAAAAAAAAAGAGTAATGTGCCGATATTAGACAATGTGAAGTGGATATTCATTATTCTGCGATCAATTGTTAATCTGTTATACAGATAGTTTGCCAATCGTTACATATAGGGCAGGTGAATGGCAACATAGCTAGAGAGACTGATTCGGTAGGCTAACGTGGAGTTTATATTGAGTTCATTGGCTAACGTAAGTCTACGCCAATGTTGCCAGGTCAAGAATGAGATAAGCGTGGATTTAAAAATAAAACGGTAGATAGTTTGAAAATTGCAGTTTTTGCCAAATCCTAGTGGTTTGTTAGGTAATTAATTAACATAAGTAAATAAGAGACTAACTAATGAACTCACTTAAAATCACCAAGAATCAGAAAAGATAAATCGGACAAACGAGTAACATTGTGTGGTAGCAACGAATATTGGGTATTCACCTATTATCGATGTTTCCTAGGGGATTCACCAAATATTAAAAACGTTAATAATAATCTCTTGGGTATTCACCGATTACCGACGTTTCCTAGGGGATTCACCAAATATTTCAAACGAAATAATAATAATCTAAAAATATGCAGTAGGGATGGCGATCTTTGGAGAAAGGATCGATTCTTGAGATCGATCTAGATCGAAAGAGAAAAAATCGATCCTCGATTAGATAATAGAAAATTTTCAGCAATATACATGGAGAAATGTGAAAATATCATCATTGAGTGATCACAAAATACCAACTAACTTGACATAACATCAATAATTCCTCATTTTATTTGGATAGATCTCGTTGTTGAGTGAAAAAACGTGTTTCTCATTATAGTCAAATATGTTATGCAGTGTGTATTTTTGTTCGATTCGATTCTATGTGAAAAAATTCGATTCACCTATAGATCGAAGTAAAAAATCGTTTTTTCAGACGGAAAGATCGATCTTAGAAAAAAATAGATTCAAGATCGGCATCCCTAATCTGCAGTCGGCGATGGAACTCGTACTACTCCGACTACTCGTAGTGTGGTACTGCAATAGATATGTTGCCGCACGTTATCAATAAATTGAAATATATTCGTGAACATTGTGTAGGTAAAAATAAATTTGAAGTTCATACTAGGGCTGTGCGATATTGAAAACTTGATATGGAGGTATGCTTTGGTATGGATATGTATCGATATGTCGATATGTATGTATAATCTAAGATTAACATCATGAAGCTTCAAAAATGATAACTCGTTATTAAACGAGTTAAATTGTGAATTGTGTGGTAGCCACGAATCTTGGTAATTCACCGATTACTGATGTTTGCTAGGGGATTCACCAAACAAACTGCAATAGATGATTAGATTGCCACTAAGAATTTGGCTTTCAAACTATTCATATTCAATGTTTCCGCCATTTTTAAAACTGCAATTCAAAACCCGACACTAGTTTTACCAATGGAATACAAAATATGTACTCAGTACGAACCATTTTTACGGGATTAGCTATAAGATTCAATATCTTCCTTCGATATATCACACTATAAAAACGGTGGACATGGCAACACTGGACATCACAATGAAACAACCGTTATCATGTTACCATTACAAAATGCCATCCTTTGATAACAGTAACACCCCTATAAGATCTATAACCATTGTCTGACATCCTCCAAATCGTTCCGTTGATTGAAAATGAGTTTTTTGAAAAATGAGAAATTTGCTCAAACAACTACTTATCTGGCGAATAACACCATAGACCACAGAATATTGAATATCTGTCAAATATTTGGAATAACTTGAGATGAATGTTCTTCTTTATATTTACAATATTATGTTTTTACCTCGGTTTTTACAATCCTCAATTATTCTTTCCATCCCTTCTAATATGTTTTTTTTAACATTATTCTTTTAAATCTAAATTCTCCATATGTAATTCTGTGGAACAGGTCCCATAATCAATCATTAGAGAAATATAATTCATACAGTAATTAACATTATTATTATTTATACCCTTGCCTATGTTGTTTAATATAACTAGTATTCAAGATATTTCTCAACAAAAACCATCAAATATAATAATGTATTCTGTAAACATTCGTTATTTTATCAGTACAGTAACAATATGATTCATCAAGTTAATTCAAACAGCTGATTCAGATGTTTTAAACTTTATATCAAGTGACCATGATTAAACTGAAAACAAACTCTTCCACTGATGATAACAACATCATATTATTATCATATCAACATTTTATTGCACGGAAACAGACATAAATGAAATATTTGAATTTGTCTATTCTATCTATAATCGATTTTAACATACAAAAAACATATGGCGAAATGTGAAACGTTAAATAACTAGACTAAATTATTAGGAATAATAAAAAAACAAATAATATCCTTGGGGCAAAAAATTGTGAAACATTCGATTATTGATTTGGAAACTAGTTATGTAGAGAAATGATACGTGACAAATAACGGATTATTCTATTGTTATATTATTTAATACAATTTGATAAAGGTTCTAGGGAATACATGTCTACAGCATGTTTTGCAAAGTCACCTCTAGAAAATAGAGAATTGCAAAATACTAATGTTATCATGATTTACAGTTTATTTAGCAGCTGAATCAACCTATAGAGCTCATAAAGGTATTAAATTATTGATCTTATCACTTTATCGCCAGAATTTTCTCAGATTGTAAACAATATATCTACCAATATCTCTCTAATTCGGTTTGTATCCATCGAAAATTATATCCTGAGATCTGGGGAAGATTCCTTCAGATTCATTTTCATAAAATAAATTCGGAACTCCTCAGTTTTATGTTCCACGCTGTAAAAAATGGCGATCGATGAAGTCCTAGTCGCCAAAAAATTGGCTGACAAGTTATGATTATCACTTTTGTAATATAACGAAAGTGAAAAATTATAGATATAATTGCAAAATATCATAATTCATCTTTAATAGTTATCAACTTCATCCAACAAATTATTCATAATACTCGACAAAGTAGGATGAAAAAACCTATTATATCCCGTATTGCTTTTATGATATTGTTATAATGTATTCAAAGAACAATTTTGGTGTGTGAATGTGGCTTTTCATAAAGTACATCATAGAAATGGTGAAGGAGCCAAGCTCTTTTTTCATTTATTTTTTTTCCGAAATGAAATTTTTACGGAAAAAATATTGAATAAGAACATACACATTAAATTTTAACAAACTTCACAGTGAGATAAAAACCCCAATATTAGAAAATTCCCCAGTCCTGTACAAAATATTGAAAGCCACATACAAAAGAGAATTGAAACTAGGTATGGCTGGATGTGCAACAACTACCCAAAATGTGTACGCCACATTTAAATATCTGGCGATTAAAAAGTACTTAAAATACTTAAAACTGGTACTTAAATACTGAAGTACTTGAAACGAGACTTAAAAGCTTCACTTTTCTGTAAAACATTGAAACACAACTGCACTTATTTTATTGGTTTACAGAGGAATCAAAGGATTGAAATAGTTTTTCACAATATTTTGTCACACGAATCGTGTTTTTTGTGCTATTCATTAATACAAGCATGCCTACACATTGTGCTGTTGTACAATGCACAAAAAATGCAGCGAGAGACGAAGGAATACGATTTTTCAGGTAAATAGTAATCTCATATTGTTTTCATTATGAAATTTTGTCATTTCTTATTAAAATTCCTACTGCCACTCCTGCAATAGAAGCTAATACTGCTAATAGATTGAAAATGTCTACAACACAAACGATCATATTACGTCAGTATGTCAGACCGGTCCTCCCGTTTGATTGCATGAATCCAATCTTCTTGCATTATTTTAGAAATTTCACGAGTATTTCTATAAGCTCCTATGGCAGAAGGAATTCCGATGAGAAATCAGAGAAATTACCAAATTTCAAAATGAAAACTATATGTGAGTAACTATAGTAGGTACTTACTATGAAATCATAATGTACCAACTATCTGTTAGGTTACCTTTGATGAGCATAGCCCTGGCCATCGCTGCCATATCCACAATATAATAACAATTTCACCAAACAAAATTATAGAATTTTTTCAGGTTCCAACTCGGACAAAATACAATGTTTGCCCCCTCAGCAACCTGTCAAATGACGTAATCCTGGAATGATTAAGGTGACATGATATTGTTCTGTGGTCTTACCGGCTCGAAAGGAAGGAACAGTGTACCATCGAGGCACACCATTCTGAATGGTTCTTATATCGCAGAAGAAGACAGTTTCATATAGGTCGTGAAATTTGAAAAATCAGACTATTTAAAATAGCATCCATCTCACCTTGCCCGGGCAACGTCAAATTGACAAGAACGACCTTGATAAGGCCCAACTCGTACTTGCTGGTGTTCATCCTTCTGAAATCCATTTTCATGTTGTTGTTACCCCAGTGCAGCACCAAACTGTCGCTCTCATTGGAGCACATCCCATTGGCTGTGGCGTTGGGTGGCAGATTCAACTTCATGGTATGGTTCGCTTCCAGGAACTCCAACTGCCCAGCCATATCCACTCCGAGACAGCTGTGGTTGGTATTCTCGTAGTTGACCGACCAATTGCCCATGGATGGGTCCGGGACTGGTTTCGGGGCAGGAGATGGTGTGGTGATCGGGGCGACTGTGGTGGTATTCGGAGCCATAGTAGTAGTGATTGGAGCAGCAGTGGTGGTGTTGGGAGCTAGAGTGGTAGTGTTGGGAGCCATGGTGGTAGTGTTGGGAGCAGCAGTGGTGGTGTTGGGAGCAATGGTGGTCGTGTTGGGAGCAAGGGTGGTGGTATTTGGAGCATGAGTGGTGGTATTTGGAGCATGAGTGGTGGTATTTGGAGCATGTGTGGTGGTATTTGGAGCATGGGTGGTGGTGATTGGAGGCTTTGTTGATGAATTAGGATGAGGTTGGGGAGGAACAAAGTTGATGTCTAGAAGAGCAAGTGAAAAGAAAGAATTACAATAATATTGAACCAATTCATTCAAAGCTACTATACTGGGTGACAACGTATGCTGAAGACATTGTTGAATCTGAAAATTCGAAAAATGTTCTATATTTTATACCTCCTATTTTGGTTCCAGTAGAAACAACCTTCAACTTTGTGAGTTTGTAATGTTGAATGGATCACCCGTAGATTTTCTGAATTATTCGAGATCGGATTTCGAAATGTGATAAATAGTAAATATACCAAATTGCTCATTTATTGACGAAACAATTTTTGTTTTATCACTTCCGGTTTCAATGGAAACGACCCCAACTATGGCTTTTTCGAATGGGACACCCTGATATTTTATTCCACCACCAGTTAGGATCATGACGAATTCAACGAACCGTGTTTGATAGGGCACAGCCGTCTTCAACTAACTAGGGTTATTTCAAACGATCACGAAGATATTTGCGTTCGAAGTTTCCATATGCTCAATGGGTGTGACTTCGGAATATCGTTACTTCATTCTCTGTCACACTCATTGAGCATATGGAAGCTTAGAACGCGAATATATTCGCAATCGTTTGAAATATCCCTATCAAAGCAGGTATCGTTGAATTCGTTATGATAAGCCCTAGATCATGGAATAAAATTTTCAAAATATGATCCCGAATGATTAAGAAGTTACAGCACTGACCGTTTTTTGTGCAATTCTCTGTATTTGGAATCTGGTTATTGGAATACATATTTTCTTCCTTCCTCGAGATTCCTGCTCGGGATTTTCCAAATATTATTGTGATATTTTTGTTACATTTTTACATTTTGATTCTAGAGACGATTCTGAGTAGGACCTCAATAGTTGTGAACAAAAATTAGTTCATTCCTCTAGAGGTCAATTCATACCCAAATCTATGAAAAGTTAATATCAAAGATTCATAGGTAGGTTAATACTCGGGTCAAAATGAGATCGAGTAGAACATTCATCAAGAATAAGTACCAATACAAGTGCAATTAACTTGTTTCACTACATTATCAATCCATTCCTCAGTTTTCATGAGGAAAAGCACCTGAGTAATCATTTTCACGAAATATTAGTTTACCTAACAAGTCCGGAAAAGGATAATAATGTTATTTAATACACTCTACTCCTAAATTCAAGTTTTCGAAATATTAATGTTTGAAAACTGGCCATCGACCTTACGAGAGACCCTTCAGTCATGTGTGTTCTTTGTTACTGACTCAGTGACTCCTTACGCCACCTTAGGAGCAGGACTGGTAATTGGAACGCAACAGCGAATCGTGCGGAATCTAGCAACCTTTCGATGTTCTGTTTACGGTTGCGTTTTAAATGACGAAAATGTGACATTTCGATCGCTTATCTTGCGAAAAATATTAAATTTAGAAGTACAGTGTATTAGTATAGTCTACTTTGGCAAAAATTATCCAAGATGGTGCTCAGCCGATATTTTGAAACTGAACTGTAATTTTTTCATAAAAATTTAGGTTTTCATTTTCTATTTTAGCCTTCAAAATGTCAATGCGATATATCAGATGGTTTAAAAATTAGTAGGTGGGGGAACAGACTTTAGACGGGTACTCGGGGTACTAGAAGATACTGTCAGTATTGCGTATTTGAATTATTATTGTGAAACTTGTCATTATTATAAAAATATTCAGCAAGTTAATTATCTAATTATACACTAAAGGTAGGTAACTGGTAAACATTGAACACTCAAACAACTGCACCTCTTACTTGTTATCGATCGTACAACTCATTACCTAGAATGAGAATGAACGATCTGACTGAATTATATCGGGGAATCACAGCCCAAGACCGAAAATCCCAGTGAAAGAACACTCGACCTACACTGAAAAAACATACTTGCACTATTCGCAGAAATGTTGACGTATTTCTGTATAACTTATTCATAATTAATAATGAAGATGATGGAAAGCCCCAATTTCGAGTGACAACGGAAAATGAAAAAACTCCACCGCCCCGCGTGAGAGTCGAACTCACAACCTTTGGGTTACATGCCCAACGCTCTGTCAATTGAGCTAACGGGTCATCCGTCGATCAATCGGCAGGAAGGTCAAGTTCTCATCAAGTCATCACACATCAGGCGGCAGAATCATAATTGACCAATTCGGCTAGACAGATCAGCATCTAATTATTTGAATAATGAAACCGAAAGAATAAGAATATTTTTGATCATGTATGGCCAAGTGGAATGTAATTAATGTAATGATCCCACCATAGTTCAACCCATCTTATTCTCACTTTATAAGTTTATAAGTGATGTTTTTCTATCGGCATATGGGCCATGGTGGGGGGGGAGATACACACCCCTTATCCCCCACCCGTAGGTACGTCACTGGCTGAGACACCTCGGTAATATTAGGGTCCCTTGATGGAAATTGACGTTAAAGTCATCTTAACAGGGTACGGACAGATCCTCGTCTCCTCTCACTCTAAAGTGTTTGTGAAACAGTTATATAGTTCCATCCTTATTAAATTCTGGGGATGAACACTAGATTTTTGACATTCGTCGTTTTTTTTGGTTATGTTGAGGTCACTGGCGTATCATACGTAATTTCCATATGGAATTCCTGATTCAACTGTTCTTAGACTGTATACCAAGGTTGACTGAATTGACTGGATTTCAAGCTGAGCAGTAGTTTATCTATGAGCTGAATGAGCAGAGCCTTATGATTGAGAAATGGTGGAAACCTCGATGTGGGTATCTAAATAGTTTATCTTCTGTAGTCTATGTCTAAACTACTGTACTCATGTCATGTGTGCTAAATATATTTTCGGAATTCCAACTCGGAGAAGAATTTATGGAGTTACTAATATCACACTATGTACATAGATTAAACATGTTTAATCTATGCTATGTATAATACTTCGTCTAGGACGAAAAGTATGCTGATAAAAAGTAATACATAAAATGTGTAGGAAAATAAAGAATAGAATACACTCTACCTGATTTTTCATTTTCGAATAATTTATTGATGAAAGTAACAAAGAAGTAGTATAGGCACGTTATGTTCACTCTTGCATCCTACATATTTTCTATTCGTGGTAGAGTAATAATTATATAAACTGATGTCTTTCGCCATATTGGATTTTCCAATTTTTACGAAACAATCAGATACCTTCCAATTTTTAATAGATCGGATCATAATTCCAAAATTGTTCGCCATATGATCTTCCTCAACAAGTAAATACCCTGTGCATACCTATTATTGAAATTGAGAATGATTTTCTGTAGCGCCCATGGATGTGACGTGACAGCAATGTCAGGGATGCCAGTAGACAAAACTAAAGTCTCTAGATCATCAAAAAAGAATGCAGCTATGATCTGTCCGTACCCTGTTAAGATGACTAACGTCAATTTCCATCCAGGGACCCTAGGTAATATTATTGAAGTTCTTGTGCCACTACATGAATTATTAGATCTTTGGCCACTACCTCTAGACCTACAAAAGCGTCATACCTATTGTAGGAGCCCTGCGAGCCCAGATAGAAACGGACCTTGTATAATATCCACATTGTTTTCTTTTCATGGATTGTTCAGTATTTGATTTGAAAAATAGTTGAATAATTAGGTTGTTGAGTTGAAAAAAAATTTAAAAATAACTTGTCAAGACGAAATGTCAATAAGTCCTAAAAGACGAAAAGAGGCCTAGACTCTGATAATGCACTTGCTGAGATTGTTACTGATCTCCATAAGGCTGAATTATATAAACAAGAGGAAATGAGAAACTGCAGTGAAAAATCTAGAATATCTATCGATATTCCTGAAAAGAATGGAAGTATCGTGGAAGAAGATAGATTGCAGACAGTGACATATACCCGAAGTAGAAGTTGATGCAAACGTGAGAAAGAAAAACATCCCAGCAATGATAAAAGAATGCTTTGTGAAACTCTTTCTAATGGTCTGAAATCTGTTCCACCGCCAAGTATTCATGATAAATCTTTGAAATTGTTAGCATGACACATATTTGATAAGGACATTCCACGCTTTGACGGAAACCCGCGAGAGTGGCCCTGTTCCATAAACAGTAACAGGGTGACATTTAGGCGTTTTCGGAAACTTACTCGGGTTGTTTGGATCCCTAACCTGATCGTTCGGTTACCCAAACCCCAAACCGAGTTACCTACCTCTGTTCGGAAACTCGAATGATGCTAACTTGATTTTTCGTGACCCTACTCAAAAGCATTAGGTGACTAACCTACTATTCTTTGATTAGGCATTCCAGAACACGTGACTTTTGACATATTTCTAATGGCCGCCTGTAGGCACACAAGTATTTTTTGTTGATTTACGTAGCAGCAGTTCAATATTTGGTAGATATATCAAATAATGATAATGGCTGTTTTAAATAAAAGTGGATATTTATTATCCTTGAACCGCTATAACAAAGATATTACGACACGAAAGTATGTGTGCCTACAGTCGGCCATATTGATTTAGATGATTTGACAGCATCTTGGACAGGTCAATTCAAGTCAATCGAAAATCGCGGGAATTTACATTCGACGATAACAATAATAATAAAATAATTTGCATGTTGGGAAAAATCACGACCGGTGATATACATGTTCTTTTCAATCTTCATGACTTGATTAAAGTAATCCATTGAGAAGAGAATTTGGTTATGTGCAACAACACATATGAGACAAGTACACCAATCCGCAGGTAAATATAACTATTTGTAATCAGATCAAATAATTACTTGAATATAATGTGACCATTTTCGTCTGTCAAATTCATGAAACCACAGGAAAATATAATATTGTTCCTAACCTGACACGTTCGTAAACGTTGAACAGGAGTAGATGATCCGAGTTTTTTGTCACGTGACCTATCTGGATCGAGTCATCAACCCAGAGTAAGTTTCCGAAAACGCCTATTTCGTGAACTTCCCATCCTCAATATCTTCCTTCCAGTAAATAATATGAACAATCGAAAAGACAGGTCAATTTTCAACTAGGAAAAAGCCTAATACTCAAGGTGGAATGCAATGGTTACAGCGAGAGAGAAACTCAGTCATTACCACAATAGTAACGAAAAATAGCATAACGAAAGAAAAACAGCTAACATTGGATTATATCCTCCCGAAATCTATGCAATAATTTGAATAGACGACATGCTGATGGTTGCTTGAAAAAGTCAGGAACTATAATAGCATGGGTTCCGCCTATTATGTTTCATTCATTGACAGGACTTATATCTTTCTGATAACTTGATTATAATTGGTAACTTGACAACCTTGCTTCATGAATCATGAGTGGGAATGGAAGATTATCCATTCCACTTCCCCATTCAACACTGATAAAGGAAAAATTGTCGAACAACATGCTATTGGCGAGTTTAAAGAACATCAATGAATCAAATTGAATCCACAAAATTTTATGTTGAATGAGATACCTACGAAAAGAAAGATCTTGCAGTTGATAATTTATTTATTTAACCTGTTATCATTGCTTGCTTGTTATCAGAGGTAAAATTTTTCTGCAAGACATCTGGTGAGCATGAAAAAATTGAGATGATCTTTTACCAGAAAATTCACTGATTTTTTGGAGAAAATGGATAGGACAGTTCTAAGAAATTACCAGAATAAAAATTCTTCAATGTTACAGCCTGATAACACTGAATGCCACATGAATTGAGATTCATGCCTTCTGTGATACAGTTGTTTATCTTCCAACATTCTGTAATGAAAAGGTGAACATCTCTAATTGCAGCTAAAACTAGGGTAGCACTGGGGGTATAGTTTATGCAAAGTCAGTTGAACAGATCATCAAACGAATGTCAGGCCGCGCTGCCGCACTCTTTGAACTTTCATAGGGATTTGCATAAACTTTAGCACCTCGTTCGGTGACCATGTGAAGCATAAATAATGTGAAGCCATTCAATCAATACTTACTCAAATCAAGACCGAATTGGTGAAATTGTTGACAGATTTTGTGCAGCGTTTTTTCAGTTCAGTGTGCATCTGTTAAGTCATGATTTGGTCGTGATTTGGTAGTAAAGAACCACAGGACCTTATGTCCGTCGCCTGGGAAAATAATTTTGGTCCCTAGGTACTTACCATATTTATTTGTTCTACTAGGCAGATAAGTACAATATTTAATGCCCCGGCTGGCGATTCATAGCCTAGGCGTAGCCGAGGCTAGGAAACCAGCCAATCCACCATTTTTTGTTCACCCAAAGTCATTGTCATTTTGATTACCAATTTGATTCAAATTACTTGGAACGTTGCATAGCAACAAACTTTTTCTGCCTAGGCAGTAAAAGTACATCTTTTCTGCCTGTTAAGTATCATTAAGAATACACTTTGAATGTCATTTGGAGAAAAATGATATCCTTTACTATTTTACTTTATTGTAGTATTAATTAAACATGACGGAGAACATGACAAATTCTTCCATACAAATAATGTGAATGCGGTACCGGATATGATGATGATAAGATTTTTCTCACATTCCACAAATATATAATACAATTAAGTATTTATGTGATCTGATGAACGCCTCCTGCAGACAAAAATTAAAATTTGTCAACAGCTGAATATAGCCATTATAGGCATCTTCACAATAGAGTATAGCCACAAGAACCATGTATTGTTAAAAAACAGTGAACCCTGAACCCAACAAAAAGAATAGATAAAATGCGATCTTACGTATAGCAATCACTTCATTGATCAAGGATGTTTTAAGACCATATTTCATGATTATCAGGTTTATCCTAATCACTCACCGTTTTTACCGTACGATGAAGCAAAAATTGCAAAGAGCACCAAGGACAGTTTTAGCTTCTCCATTTTACGCACTTCCCACTAATTCTCGAGAGGATAAACAACAAAAGCGAAATATGCCAAGTTGCCAAACTCAGATTGCTGATTGCTCAACGTCAACGAGACTTGAAATAAAAAATAAAAATGATGGAAGATGGAAATGATTGGATTGTCGTGCATCTGTCATCTGTCGTTCTATCGACTATCGATCTGTCAGTAGTGTAGAGTCTGTGCTGTTAGAGGTGGGATGTTTATATTGTTTATAAGTTGACATCGAGAAACCCGAATTTAACTGATTGTATTGAATCTGCTGATTTTTCATTCCGAAATCGAAAGAATTCACTGGAAGGTCTGCTAATTCATTCCAAATTTTCCAGTCAGCATTCAACATTCCGCTTTCAGGACACGATTGACACGAATCCGTTTCGCCCAAACATATGCCTAGGCGATTCCCATAGACCAATCAGAACGATCCAAAAGAAGTGCCTGTGCGTGTTAACAAAATAGACACGGTGACGGTGCATTCCATCTCAGATGTGCGATGCATATACGTATTAATAATCAATACGGATAATCTCTATCTGTTTCCATAGCGAAACATGAAGCCGATTTTTTAAGACAAATGACTATCCATAAGGAAACCTTTTGAAACGATTAGACACATACTGCTTTGATTGAAAGGCTAGTAAACGTCATTGTCCACCGAAACGCATGTCTTTGATGACTACTATAATAGCGCATGGCGCATGCGTATCATGCCACCAAATCCTTATGGATATTCATTTGTTTCATATTTTTGGCTTCATCCTGGCACCCGTTATGATCCGTATTGTTTATTGTGCGATGTACATTCATTAAATTAAATACTCCATGTGCGATGTGCTGGCAACTGCGGCAACGGCAAGTGCTTCTTGAAAAGGAATATTCTCAGAATCATGATTGAGTTTTCTGAATTCAGAATTCCTTTCACGACCTGTATGATAAGGATCAATTCATCATATCGTACTTTTAATAAGCTCTTTCTTTATATTACTTCATACTGAAATTTTCATGTACCACTGTGCTGTGGGTCAGTATTGTTGTGCGATCGAATTGCACGCCGGCGATCCGGGTTCGATTCCTTTTACGGCCGGCATCTTTTTACATTTTTTTTTCAATTTCAATCAGGATCGACCGTGAGCGAAGCTCTAGGCAGGAAATTTTCAGTAGACTTGATTCTGTGCCAATCAAGGGTATTGTACCGTCAATAACAGTGATTTGAATTTACCGCCATTGCCGAAATCGCTCTGATTGGTCTCGTATACCACCCAATACATATGTATGGGGCAAACCGGCAACCGGCAAAACGGATTCGTACACCAAAACTAAAAAGGTAGTGTGAAGTGTGACTGATGTGTTTGTAACAAACGAACAATAGAACAAACACCAAGCAAAATGTAAATAACAAATCACCTCCAGACGGGGAATTACATAGACCAACCAAAAATAAATTCCTTTCTCTATGGGGAATTACAGAGTAGGCGAGGGTTTTCCCGACAGCTAGTAGCCCGATGTTGCCGGTACCTTCAATTAAAATGTTATTTTTTTGATCGATTTCTTTAATCCATATTATTTATGTTTTTGCGTAGCTTAGGTCACGTTTCTATGTTGAACAATCACCAGATTTTATAGTTTTATTAGGAGTTTTTCACCAATCACGAAAAAGGATATAAAATCACCATATTTGGTGAAATTTCACCAGACCTGGCAACTCTGCAGTACTGACCAGTAGAGGTGGGCGACAGTGATTTTGGATTATCGATAATCACATTGTATCGATATTATGAAATTGTCGATATTATCGCATTGGCAGAAAAAATTTTGAACTGTAAGGAAAACTAACCTGAAAACGTGCTGAAAACCATGTAAGTCAGTGCAGGTATGTTCTAATTACTTTTGTAAGTTTGGAACGGTTTATTTCAACTGCTCATCAAAAAATAAAAAACTAGGTTACTGATGGAAACAAATTTGAACGGCCTTCAAAATGATTTGCATCTTGACCCCCTTGAACCAAGAGGGTGCTGAAAATTATGCATTCAGTGTCCTCCTTGAAAATGAAATAGAAGTGTCTTTTCGATTTTTCATATCATTTACTGGAAAAGCAATATCAAGGGTGGGAAGTTTTGTTATTGATACTCAATTTTTCGGGAACTGCTGAACAGAAAATTATAAACTATAGGTATAGGGCACCATTGAAAGATCAGGTTAGATCCTATTTGAGGTTGTAAGGGTAACATCTACATCTCCTAGGAGGTTGAACCAAAAGAGCTAGAACAAATAATCTTGAGTGTCCCCCTTGAAAATATAGTAGACCTGTCTTCGATTTTTCATAGTATTTACTGGAAGGAAGATATTGAAGGTGGGAAGTTTTCAAAATGTTTATATACCGGACGGATTGATATCATTAATAAAAAATAATACTGTATTATCTGTTAGAACCGCTATTTATTATTTATTCTTTAAAAAAATTACATTAAAGCATAGTAAAATAATTAATTCGAAAAAGTGCATATTGATGCACAATATGTTTAGACAGACTGTGACCAATATTAGACCATAAATATATAATATTAAGTATATGTTTATAAGGTGTTACAAAACTATGAGTCCCTTTACCTTAGGAAAAACACATAAGCTGCACGACCTAATATATAGTTTCTTTTGCCTTTCACCACTAAATATAAGTATATACTCTTAAAAAACGAATAATTATAATCACACATTGAATAATATATATATTTATAGAATGACCAATTTGAAAGTGGGGCACCCTCATAATTTTTTCATTTATGGAGCGATATTCAGGATTATTTCTCTGATTTGTGGAGGAAGAAAAGTTGTATCTTGAAGCCAAGCGGTGTCTATTAAAAAAAAACAAGGCCGGTCAGATCACATTTTCATTGGCTGAAAAATCCAGAATCTCTGTTGGCGATTTTTTTAAAGAAAAAATCCGCGTTCACCACTGGAATTGGAGCCTTCTAAAAAAGATCTGTACCAAGTTTCATGAAAAAATATTTAACATTAACGAATCTACGGCGTGTCTCATTTCAAAATAATTTTTCACAAAGCTTGGTACAGATCTATTTCAGAGAAGACGTCGATTCCAGTGGTGTTCGTGGATTTTTTCTAAAAAAAGAAACGATAATGAGGATTCTGGATTTTTCAGCCTCTGAATGTGATCTAGTAGGCCTTGGTTTCAAAAAAAGTACGCCGCTTGGCCTCAAAATACACCTTTCCTTTCTCTACACTCTAGAAAAAATCAAAATCGCTCCATAAATAAACAAATTTATGGAGGTGGCCGCTTTCAAATGGGTCACTCTGTATATAGACGTAACAAAGTCAGCAGAACAAATCAAAATTATTACTTTTTCACATCGTATTTTGTATTATAGAGGTATAATAATACCTAATACTGTTCAGAGATCTTATTGCTGAACTTGAGTTTTTAGTTCTGTTATATAACCACACATATACGATAAAGGTACTTATCGGTTCCAGAGATGAGTAGTGGAATAAATAACGGGTTTTTATTTGAAGTGATGCTTTTAAAGGTTCTATACTTTCAAGGTTGCATTATGATCGAGTAAAAACCTATAATGACAAAGGCAGTGATAAAATTTCATCGGAAATGGAAAAACTCTCATTTCATTAAAACAGATCACCTCTATGAATTCATCAAATAAACTCCAAGACAACCTATGAATTTCAGGTTGAAGTGAATATAGAGGATGTATCATATTCAACTGGTCATACAGCTATCACCTCTACAACAGCATCAACGAGTATGAATGAGAAAGAAAGTTTGTTATCTTGGCCCAAAAAATGGCTCCTTAAATAAGGAGCACTCTAGATCTGCAATCTGAAGATGGTACTTTCAAAACGATATGTTAGGTGATACCGAGCGTAACATCAAAGAAACAATAATTCTGAAATTTCAGTCATCCAGGGGCATATCAATTAGAGAGTTGAACTAAAAGTAAGTTAAACTTTCGGACTCTTTCTACACTAAAATAAAAATAAAAGTCGATTCAAACATGGTACCTACATATAAGCATCCAATGGAATGCATGCGTCCTTATGGTATGTATAACACACCTATTGTTAGAATCGATATTATTCGAAAATGAATCATTCATCGATATGACGAAAGGAATACTAAATATCTATGTGAAAATTTAATTCACTCGGACCCTATTTGAATCGCCTCTGAATGGCTTAATTGTTTCAAATGTATTCCAAAAATACCATCTTCAGAGGCGTGTAGCTTGTAGATCTGTGGCGTCAATTTTCAAGTCATTTTTATAAAAACGTTTTCATTTCTTTGATTGTAGTATGATCAATGAATATGACCAATTAGATTCGAAACACCCTGTATAGAAAGGTATAGGTATATACTTGATGACTTTTTTAAATCCCGAAGTCGAACGACATATTGTGCGTTGGCGATATAGAATGCACAATCGATGAAATCCTACCACTAATCAGTCCAGTTTTCGGCCAGTTCCGACCAACTTGATATGCAGAACGCGCCACACAAAAGAAAAGTCCCACATATAGCAATAACCAGTAGAATTTGTCACTTTTGGAAACCTTAAACCTGATTATTATCTATTAGTTAAGTAATTATCTAAACTATATCAAGTACAATCAACACTTATTTCTCGTAGTTATAACAATATTATTAGTTTTCTTGCTTAATCTGATAGTTCCTTAATGGAACTTAGCAATGTAACAGTGCTTAACACATACCATATAGGCAACCATCGTCAAACATTTTAGGACTATTTTCATCTTCCGATTTTCATACCCGCCATTTTGCTCAGCACTTTCGATGCAGAAAATGGATGCCTATGTCCAGATTATTAATACCTTCAATCCTCAGAGGATTGCTACTTATAGTCCCAACAAAAAGAAAAATTACAGTGATAATTTGCGTTTAGTATACTATAAAATCACAACGAAACTGTATTTACATAGAAAATAAATTAACACATTCGCCCTATCACAACACGATAGACACACAAATGTCTCTCAAAGTTCTCATTCATCACATCAGTAACAATTATATTTCTTTAATTATTGTGATGCGTCGAATAACTGTGTATGAATAATGCAGTTTAATGAGCTCACAAGGTATATCCAGATCCCCTCGGTGCCTGTCATGAATTTAACATAAAATGCAAACACCAAAATTCGTTCACACTCCTACACAGAGACAAAAAAGCTGCGACTGAATGAAAATGCGACAACATCGTTTTCATTCCTCAAATACCTACTTCTTTTTTCCGTTGCCTACCCGGTATTTCTGGCTTTTTCCATCCCAAAGTTCTAATAGGAACATCATGGAGATGCCTTATACTCATTGGTTTCAACATGCATTTGTTCGGGTATAGGTGGATTGACCCCATGCGAATACCCTAGGTACGGTTATGGAAGTCAGTGGCAGACCAGCCGAAGCTGAATATATTCAATAATGATGGTGGCTTAAAGCGACCTAAATATACATTGGGTGATCAAAAAAATATGGTCCATCAGCTTGGTTGAGGAGATAATTTCCCGGCCAACGAAGAAACTCATTATACAGGGTCTGTAACAAACACAAAAATTGTTATTGACAAGTGAATTTTCATTAAGCAGATATTTTATTTTTGGAGAACGGAATAACCTCTAATATACTTTCGCTGACTATATTTTTTCGTATCACCTTTGCCTCTAGATATACCTACAGTGATGAGAGATTTAAAATTCCTAATATTGTGAACTAATTCCTGGAACTAAACTATAACTATAGACCGTCTTCGTTTTGAAATCTACTGAAGTTTAAATTCAAAATCCGAGCCCTGTCCTCGTGTGTGTTCACGTCGATGGCAGTTGTTGGGCCCTCAGTGTGGCCTACTCGCTAGTACGTTTCGACACTTAGTCCACCATCAGCTCGAAATGGACCGATCCTCTTCGGTCCACACGGTCATGGATGATGTTCGTCGCCCATGCTTTGCATTCAATGTTGATCAGAATGCCACCTGGAAAATACAGGACGAAGTTATCCAGAGATTATCATTACCATCCGGAATGAACTTATAAACTTATATATCCTCTGAATATCTGATTGCGTTTCCAGAAATGTAGATCAAGTGACTCAAAGGTGAGTGATTTTCATACAATTTATTCTCGAGTCAATCGAAACTGTGACAAACTCCTTTTGTTTGGATGGCATTGAATTATTTCGTTATCTACCATTTTATTTATATATTTATTAACGGACAAGCCAATTATACAATTTACAAAAAGAAAGTATAAAAATACAGAGCACGTACATATTATCATATCTATGAAGAAGACTAACACAAAAACAATGTAGAAGGCTAAAACGAATAGAAAGATGAAGATTATGTACCCTAAACAAGATTTTCCTCGAATAACTCTTGCATTTTCATTATCTTTAGGAAAGATAGACATGAAGGCAACTTTATATGTGTTGATGATATTCAACCTACTCGAGAATCCGACAGTCTTGAAAGCTTTATAACAAGTAGAACAACTATTGTTTGAACAAATTTGAACATCAGGTTTCAAACTGATTGCAAGTGATATGTTCCAGTCTTGCAAAACGATCGTAATGTATTGTATTGTTATTTGATTCTTGTATCACTTACGTTTGGGTTGTTCGAAATGGACGGCTATCAAGGGACTCAAGTAGCCATCTTGATTTTTGAAAGGGAAGTACTGTGATAAAAATCCGCGCTGAGGGATGTACCTCAAGGGTCCAATGTTTTCCTTATCAGCAGGGTTTTCACCCTCACAAGTTACCCAGACCATCTCGTGCTAAAAAATAGGTAATTTGTCTCGGTCAATCAAAAATCGGGTTTATTTTCTGAAAAGTTTACCTCATTCCTGAGCTCAGCGTCTTGAATATCTTTCCGCAAATAGTCGTTCATCTTATCTGGACCAGGTAAATTGGTGGAGTTGTAGTAATCTGGCTTCCAATTATATATCTGAAATTACAGTTCAGGTACTTGCATGATTTGAACTTCTGGATCGCAAAAGACAAAATCCCTATTAACTGGGGTGGATAGAGAGATAGTAGGTATTTCAACTTCTCGGGATTATGAGTTCTTGGAAATGCTACTCTAAGTGAACAATTATAAAGATGTTTTGTAGATGATTATCATTTTTTTATGTTCTCTGGTTCCCACGAAAAGGGATATCCTGTAATGTTTAGAGAACATCGTGAGAACCAAGGAAAATAAGGTATGAATTGGTGTTCTTCTTGAACTTCTGGAGGTTATATGCCTTGGGGAACACCTCCCTTGGCAATGGGTGCCAGAGCCTCGCTGTTCGTTGGATGAACGAGTCTTTGGAAAGATATGTTCTGCTGGTCTCCAAAGTGACCACGAAGGGGTGCGAAGCCTCAACTCGATGGGTTAATCTCGCGGGGACTGCCAAAGAAGGAACAATTGTTGATATTCCAGAAGAGCATCGTCCATGGAAATATCTATAAAATAGAGCCAGATCGCCAACTTTTCTACGATGTTCCAGAGAAGTGAGTGAGTTTGTGAGCTCCAAATATGGGAACAGTATTCCAGGACAGGTCGGATCTGTGCCTTATAGATCATAAGCAGCTGACTGGAAGTGTTATAGCTCCAGGCCCGAAACTATTAGCAATTGATCTCACGTGATTTTCCCAAGAGAGGTTATTGCTGATGGTAATACCAAGCATCGAAAAGGATGTCTTTAAAAGTATGATTACTCCTGACAAGTTTATGTTGGGCACAGTGAGATCGGATTTTCTAGAGAAAAGGCATGCTTGTGTTTTGTTCGCATTGAAATCTACCAAGTTAATGGATCCTCATTAGAGAATTGTTGCCAAGTCCACATTTATGTTTTCAACATTTCTTCCTCGTTCGTTTCCGATTTGCCTGGTTGGTATTGGAGCCCTGGAAGAGAAGGCACTATGGAGGGTACTATCATCCGCGAAACTGTGTGTACTGGACATGAAGTTGCTTCCAACAAATCGTTGATATGGAGTAGAAATAGTGTTGGTGCTAGAATTGATCCTTGCGGAACACCAGCATTTATGATAAGAGAGTCAGATGAAACTCCATCGACCACTACATGGAGAGACCTGTTTGAGAGAAAACTAGCTAACAAAGAACATAGCTGGGGAGGCAAGCCATAAGATGAAAGCTTGGCGAGGAGTCCGTGGTGCCAGACTCGATCGAATACCTTGGAGATATCAAGTGCCACGGCCACGGCTAAGGTTTCACCATATTTTTCAATAGATTGCTGCCATACATGTTAGACGTAAGCGAGCAGGTCACCAGCCATATTGCCTACTGTTGATAATACCTGAATGTTCCAGGTATTTCATGAGCTCGATTCTCCATGATCTTTGAAATAAAAGATAGAAGTGCGATCGGTATGTAGTTGCTAGGTAGGGTCTTTTTGCCTTTTTTAAATTATGAGATGTTGATGAAGGAATGAAAAGCCGAATTTTTGTGCAGCTGCTTTTGCGATGAAAATACAGGTTGAGTTGTTGGTGTTGAATTCAAACAGGTTGTTGGTTGATATGCATATTATTTTAAGGTGGGATTCCGATTCAGACAGTGACGGTCAGTTATCAGTCACCTACCGACATTATTTTATTCATAAGTGACAATGTTTTTGCGGTAATACTTACCTTGTTGAGTTTGAGGAAAATGCAGGGTCCTCCTTTTTCGTCTTCGAACCCGAAACCTGCTTCAGGTAAGCAAGGATTCCATTTGGTAGGAGGCATTTCTACGTCGCATACTTTCCCTTCTTCAGGTTTTATGAAATTAGAGCATGGCACTACGTTGTCGGCATGCTCATTGTTTTCTTTCTGGTAAGCTATAGAGAATCAATATAATTTTTTTTTGAATTCATGGAAAAGGCTCAATGTACTTACATTGCACGAAAAGACTGAGTTGTTCTTGCCAATAGCGAACATTGCCTTTATCGCTACTCTTGTACCAAATCAGAGTACTTTCGACGTTGCTCGGTGGAGGCATAGGCCTGAATCCTAAACCTGAAAATATCATATTCATTCAATCGATCTGGCGACATACGAAATTTGTGATACACATCCATTAAAGACGTACACTATATACCGGGTGTTTCTCAAGAGTGGCTCGCACCCCTATAACTTTATTGTTTCTGCAGATAACAAATGGAATTCGGTGTCTAATTATAGTACATAAATGTGCATTTCTTGACTCGATTGTTTTCTGTCACCTCAGGTTCGACCGGAAAATGACCCTCACTTCCTTATTTTAAAAGGAACACCCGGTATATTTTTACTCAATTTAATAGATAAATACATTGTGAGTACAATATCCATCCTGAAATTATCAATTAATAATGTTAAATTTGGAGTGCCATGAATGAGTTAAAACGATTTTCATTTCTTTCACGGGTTCATTGAAAGTTCGAAAATCGTATTTATGATCTAGACATCTACTATACTTTTTTCCCTTGTATAATAAATAAATATGTTTTCGTCAAGAAGAAATAAATCGCACAATTTGAATTTCCATGGTGAAATTGCAAAAATTAGCTAACAAAGAATAAGTGAGGGCTGAAAGTAAACTCAGCCGACCCTGTTCGAGACTTTTCTGAAGGAAATTATGAAATTTCGTTCAAATTATCCTCAATTTTGAATGAAAAAGTAAATTAATGAAGAACCTGTATATTTTCTCTGATAATTGAGATTTTAGATTGAATAAAAAAGAAGGAGATGTTCAGAAAAAATCAGGCAACGATTTGGTGTCAAGAACTGTTTTCACTTATCAGGGTGTCCAAAAAAACACCAAAGATTCCTTACTTTTCTTCTCTGCATACCATATAAACACAAATCGTTTGAAATCAGTAATTTTCGTGAGGAATAAACAATTCCTTTTTTGATTCCTTACCTGGATTATTTCCGATCAATGAGCTATCTAATTCCCATTTGGGTCTCTTCATATCCAAAGTCTGATAAAATACGGCCATCAATGCAACGAAAAATCCCACCAAAACGGCATAAAATATAAGATAGAATAATAAAATTTTGGCTGCAATATAAAAGTATCATATATTAGATAAAATAGGTATTTCGATAGAGTAAAACATTTTGAATATTTTTTGTGTGACCTCATGTATACAAATGAATACTGATATATGTACCGGGTGAACAACAAAGAACGGCTGTCGGCCATATCACAGCAACGAATAATGATACAAGTTTGAGATAGAATAAATCCAATGGTATTCAAAAAATGCACGATGTAATAGAGACACTTAATCTCAACAGACAAAAACCGGAACGGAAGATATTCTGATATTAACTATCAAAGTTGAAAGAATGATAGATTTGACAACCGTTCTTTGTTGTTTACCCGGTACACTTTGGAAGATCCTGCTCTGATACTAAATATTTTGTATAATGTGTGACATCAGTCATCGCTTCTGGTATAATTAAAATTCCATCGATGACCTGATCTTCAATCAATTATCACCTCTAATGATTTGGTAGACAATATTTTTTTAGATAGTCGATTTGAATTCGTAACAAACAGGGTGATGCAAATTTCGTGATGATTACTTGAAACAAAAAAACATGAACTTGTAATAAATCATTGGAGTGTCTGTGTGTCTATAGTGGAAATGCATCGAAAAATGCTTAATTATAATTGGTCGAGGACCTTGGAACGTACTCATCAATGTTTGTTCTGATTATGTCATAAAATGCACGCGGTATACCCTACCATTTGAAATAACGATCGAAGTTGTAGCCCACTTCCGGTATAAGCGGAAGTCCTAGGAGTCCATAAATATATCAGCAGAATAGAGAAGTTACAGAGTTCAGCCAGCTTTCAGAGAGAAAATATATGTCTTCCCATTATATCTTTGTCTTCAGGATTCTAACGTAAAATAATGAAAATTGTATGTTAGTAAAACACAAAATGAGAAAAAATGAAGAGCAAAACCATTCTAGCAATTTCATATTGAGTTAAGTATGGTCTTCTAAATTTCTACTCATTGTTAGTGTACCATCACAAAATTTTCATTAATTTACCTTGGGGTCCTGAAGACGAGGACAGAATGAGAAGACAAATTATTTTCTCTTTCAACTCAAAATGCTCTATGTTTGGCTTTCCATTCATTAGATCCCCCCCCCCCCCAACGTTCAAAAGACTTGACCAATTCAATTTTCCGATAGAAAAATAACTAATAGAAATCGAATGAGCAATAACATATACAGGGTCGCTGATATGTATGGAAACAGGTGAATATCTCGGTTACCTGATTTTAGTTTTTTTTTTAATTTATGTACAGTGTGATTTCAAGACGTGGCGGACTTGAATATGTTTTAGCCAGTGTTGCCACTTTTTCAGTTATTCCGGATTTTTTGTAACTTCCTTATTTTGAATAAAACACCCTGTACTTTATTGGATTTTCAGATTCTTTTTGAAGAGCTGATTCCATCGATCTATCACACTTGGGGTCTAGCGGGAATGATTACATAGGTAGAGGGTGTTTAAAATCTAGATTTTTCAACTTTAGGATTTTTTGTGTCGAAACTATCCATTATCGACCGAAACCGCTCCAATGTTTCTATATTTACTTTTGATTTACTATCTACTGACATTTAATAGGAACAGATACAGAGGGTGATCAGAATTCTGAATCTTGAACCACCCTGTATTTGTTTCAATTAAATGTCAGTAGAAAGAAAATCAATAGTGAAGATAGAAACATGGTAGCGGTTTTGATCGATAATGAATAGTTTCGACACAAAAAAATCCTAAAGTTGAAAAATCTAGATTTCTAACACCCTATACCTATGTAATCATTCCCGCTAGATCCCAAGTGTGATAGATCAATGGAATCAGCTCTCCATGGAGAATCTGAAAATTCAATAAAGTACAGGGTGTTCCATTCAATATAAGGAAGTTTATAAAAAATCCGGAATAACTGAAAAGGTGGCAACATCGGCTATAACATTGTCAAATCCGCCACGTTTTGAAATCACACAGTACAGAAATTCAAAAAAAATCAACAACAGGTTACCGAGATATTCACATGTTTCCATACATATCAGCGACCCTGTATTGTGAAAACTGTCAAATAATTTAATGTAAGCTCGTAGATATCGGTTCATTTTTTTTTATCAATCAGCCATGTTACTAAATTTTATAAGTATACGCCTATATTTACAAAAATCGAAAGAAGCCTCAGTTGATTAATATATCTTTTCACTTCTTCTTACTACACTCATTGTAGTTGTTCAAGCGAGAGTAGGTATTCGAGGATTAACCAATCGGGGTGAAAATGATTAGCACAATGAATAATCGGAAACATCAAGAAGCATTTGAATAACTTTTTATTCATATTACGTAGGTAGATATGTCGTCATTTGAATTTTACGTAATTTTTCCCCAAGAATTAACTATTTCCATCTTTCAAATTGGCTGACCAACGAGACTGCTTGGAGTACTTTGGAACGAGCGTAAAATGATGAAACTTTCACAGAACTGTGCAAATTACATTTTCTAATCACATGCAATAATGAATGAATGACCCTCCATAGAATGAGTAATTTATTGGTTATTTATGGATTTTTCCTATAAATTCCCTCAAACGATTTCAAATATTCGAAAAATGTAATGCGGCAACAGAAAGAATATTCAACAAATTAGTATGTATAATCAGTAGTAATAGGTACTATAAGTAGATACTTCAAAGTATTCGGGATACACATCGATAACTTGTCAGTTTAACAGTTGATCCTACACAAAGATTATCAACAGCCTTGCATCACTTTTTGGTTTCAATAGGTAAGTATATGTAGAATTCGTTTTGGCCGAGGTTTCCGCAAGGCGAAAGCCGCATTTTAATCGATCATCGATCCGACGGAAGTTATTGTTATTGAAGACAAGACATGACAAGACGAAAGAGCATCGTTATGTAGTTCCTATGGCTTTATAAAGGCGGTTCCTAACCTATCAGCTGTATTTTATTTCACCCCAGTCTTCCAGAGCCGATAGACTCAATAGTATATGTACATCCACTACTTCCAGTCCAAATAGAGAAGACACCTAGGTACCTTCCTATAGAGAGGTAACGGAACTAGGTCACTCTCCACATAGCCTTTCCGTCAAATATATAGGTAGGTATGTCCAAAGGTGGGAAGTTATAGAAGTCGGGGGTGCAAGTTGGATCAATAAATCTGACAGACAGTAGTCGAGGAAACAGAAACTCCCGCAAAACAGCTGGTTGGAAAGTTCAAAGTTCGTCGCCGATAATTGCTGAATTGATCTGCGAGGAACGAAACTATATGGGGGTTGCTAAAAACGCGCTAAGAATCATATACCTTGTAGTATTTCAAGAAGAAACCTTAGCATGCTTTGATAAGCCTGTGATCAAACCTAACTAGAAATGTATCTTCTATCAAGGTTGCTCCTATAGAACTGCTATACAGCAAATCTTGTGGAACTGTTGAAATCATGGAGGGCGGCTAGCTACGATTTATAACGCCTTTACAATCAAAAAGTGCATTGTTATAGAATATTTCGTGTCAAAAGATTTCTTATATAGTCCATATAATAAGGTGATCATAAAATAATCTTATAAATGTATGACGACTACATTATACAATAAATTCAGATACCTTTGGAAATACCTGTATACTATCAAACATTTATAAAAGAAGTTGCCAAAATGCATTTTGAATATCGAAATATGAAATAATATCAATGAACAACTGACGACGTTTAGTCATGAGCGGGAAAATTTCCTTGGGCAACGAAGTTTTGGTTTTCAATGAATTTGAAGAAGAATAATTTTGGATTTCAAATATACGGAGTATAATATCTTTCCCAATTCAGTAAACATCTCTATACACTGCTATGCCTTTGATATTCAATTGGCTGTTTTTGGCTCTATTCAGAACACTATACAATAAAACAGTTATATAGTTATACTATTGCTCACTTCCTTATGAGTTTTATTTTGCAAGATGGAAAATTTTCGAATCATTCTTGCCTTCTTATAATTGGGCAGAAAAGAGTTCTTTCCCTGCATAAAATGTCATTCCATTCCAAAATAATAAGAAAAATACCTACTATCTTCAGGCACTAAAATTGAGAAAGCCGGATTCATCAGGATTAAATTATATCGATCAATGATCATTATATGAACTCGTTCTTCCTATCACAACGAATTACCCTAACATTTTTGACACGTAGTTCGTGTTTCAAACCTCTAAATTCTCGGACAAATATGATTTTAATTTTGTTGAATTTTTCACTTGAAAGGCACATACCCAACTGGAAGAGACATTTCTTGAAGATATCCAAATCTGAGCCAAAACCCAAAATATATACGATTTGAGAATACTCAACTGGTTTTGAGAGTCGTTTTACCATTCCGCATTCAGGACACACAGTATATTTAATGTTTGAAGATATACAAGGTGTCCTAGAACAACGTACCATAAAGTCTACAGGGTGAACTAGAGACCAAATTAGGCCGATTGAAATAAACTTTATTGTTTATTGACAAAATAGCTTCCAGCCATAAATAAAATTCTGGCATGAGGAAGTTGATTACAAACAACAATAATAAAATAACATAAGGTGACAACAACAAAAAAATCAATAAATGCTAAATCAATCAAATCATAAAAAATAGCAACAGGGACTAATCAGTAGATGGCAAAGTATCAATTTTATCCATTTCGTAATAAAATCATGTGTTTTTTAATGCAATTTCAAATTTTATAATCCAGCTAGAGCAGCGTGAGTATTTTTTTTCGGCCAATTATAGAAGTAGCTGAATCAATATGAAATAAGTTTAATTGTCTCGTGTGATGAGCATGCATTTCTGAGTTTCTTATCAAAATAAAATTGTATTTCAGATTTTTGTTTGTGATATTATATGAAACTTTAAGAGAATCTATTGTATACAATTCATCCGACGAAAATTTTTCTGTTTCGCACATAATAAATCATTTGTTGGGATATCAAATGAGATGAGACGCGATACAACACTTTCAATAATCATGTTATTTATCTCGAAAACCAAGGAGAATAATAAAAAAAACTGCCTGGCCTGTTCAGTGAGGAATTTTATTTTATTATTTCGAAGTACTAACCCTGAGTATTTCACTGTCGCAAACCGTCAAGGGTGCCGAATTTCATGAATGCAAAAAAAATTGCGATGATTTAAATAACGAATGATTGCATCAAATACTATTTACACACGGAATGATCAATATGAAATAGGTTTGTGAAGTAAATTCGACTAGTAACCCTATTGATTTTGACATTCTATAAAATATCAAAATGTGGCCAGAGCCGTACTATAAAAAAGTTACCTACATTAATTTTTATGCGAAATACCTAACTCTCTGTATATTGATTGAAATGGTACAATATGTTCACTATGCACATTCACTATAGAAAATTACCCTACAAATGTCATAGCAGTACCTCCCAAGGATTTCGAAATATTGAAGAAAATCTGGAAATAAATTTGTTCTTCATCACCCTCTCACGGCTCGACGGTGGATTTTCGTATGGAGGTAACTAGATTTCAATCGGCCAATTTTGGTCTGTAGTTCACCCTGTAGAATTTATAGTACTTTGTTCTGGGACACCTTGTATACGCTTGATAATTAAATTTGGATCGCTATCGCGGATGTTTGATTCATGTAAATTATATTCCACTATGACAACCAATTGAAGCTGAGTAAATCTAAATAGATTTCATGGACAAAATAATAATACACTCACTATTGGGAGTTAACGAAATGGAACAATTCAATAGAAAAGTAAAACACGAAATGAATTCGAATATAGGAAATGTAGATTTCATCAGAGGTACCTACTCATTTTTTCCATGGAAAATATTGAAAAAGATCGCGGAGTCGGTTATTCATAAACTTTGGTCACATCAACCCCATCTGCAGATAAACTATCCTTCACAAAAACGACCATATTTCAAATAAAACATTCCTATAATGATGTATATTCGATTTCTTCAAGATACATACGCCGAAACTTTCCAGTAGTTTTTTCATTATTCCCTGGACTATCAGCGAAAGAGAAATTGAGAAAACCGTGAAATCGTAAAATATCAATCGACCAAATCGGGCGTCGTCCTCCATTGTGAAGCAGACGCCATTTCTGGGAATTCACAAATGAACGTAAACCCTCAAAATTAGAAAAAAAATCTAGTCAACACTACAAAATCGTTTCCCACCTAGCTCCAATTACCCAAATATACATCGATAATGAATTGAACTGAATTATTACGCAACAATGCAGTTATTAATAACTGGTGACCCACAAATGCCAAAAGGTCACGATAACTAGAGATAAACCATAAAAAAATGGTGAAGATTAATAAATTTCGCGTAGGAAGATTACTAGTTCGCTAGATAAGCCGGCACCACCAGAAAACTATTTATTGGGTACTTTCACGATTTGGTCCAAAGGGTTCAGATCCAGCAAAATCAATGGTCATCTCGCGAACTAGCCCAAATTTCGAAAAACTAAGCCTACCAGCACATAAAGCAATTCAAAGAGGTCACACCAAGAAGAAAAAAAATTACTCACCCCAACTGGACCCCGTCCTGCCGAGGAACTGGCTGGTCTCCGAGTTCCACAAGAACAGCCTGAAGCCCTCCCATCTGCCCAGCTCTGGCGGCTTGGTGTAGTATTCGTTCACCTTGTTCTTATTGTCCGCCATAACGTGATCCCGTCGATCCCCTTCGGTCTACTACCCTTTACGTAAGAGGGTGCCTCCTGAGGGATGCGGATTCGCGTCAAGCGCCGTCGCGGATAGCTTCGATCGCGGATTGCCTTGGACGCGATGCGCGGTTGTTTAAACAAGCGGGAACGTGGTGACATCTGGTGGGGGGAGGAGGCAGCGGACAGCGCGTTTTGGGGATGTTGGAATACAAAAGCATCCTTTTTTCCTCTTGAAAAACTCATGGTAATGATTTTGTTCTTGTTATAATAACTTGTTTGTCGTCAATGCTTCGAATATGATCTAGGTGAAATATTTCTTTGGAATTGGCCAAATTTTAATTGGTAACTGCGAGGTGTACCCAGTGGAATAGGTTTTGAATGAAAAATATGCAGGATTCGTCTATTCAATTACCATTTTCTGCGAAATCTTCAGTAGGTAGTCATGTAACTTCAATTTGAGATTGTTATTTTTTCATATTCACGGATAGTTATCGAAATAAACAGATCGATCAATGATGATATCTAACACAGGAAAATGCGTTGCACTAATTGCAAATAGGAACTCAAGTTCAGAAAAAGATGGAACACCTCTTTGTATACTAGTGTGAAACAGTCATTATATGTATAATAATAGAGCAAAGTTTTTTTTAATGAGAAAAAAATTATAATGACTGTTCTAAAATGAATATTTGCCTGTTTGGAATGACCCTCAATAAAACTGATGAATTATTTCTTCCAGATATATACAGGGTGATCCACGGTGGATGGCCTATTAGAAGTATCTGGAGAACGAAGACAGAAAATTCTGAAAATTGAGACGCTTTGATAATTGAACATTCTCTATCCGTCTAAAATATTTTCATCGATACAGTGTTGCCACTTCTATCAGAAAGAACTAGCAACTTCGTTATTTTAAATAGAGCACCCTGTATTTTATTGCATTTTTAGATTCTTCCTGAAGAGCTGATTTCATCAATGTATCACAATTGGGGTCTAGCAGGAATGATTACAGAGATATATAGGGTGTTCAAAATCGAGATTTTTCAATTTTAGGATTTTTTGTGTCGAAACTATTCATTATCGATCAAAACGGCTTACATGTCCCTATCTCAACTTTCGATTCAGATAAAGGTAAATCTTTCAATGGAATAGATAGGGGTTGCCAAGGTGGTTATGAAAATACAATATACGGAGATACAGGGTGATTTATCGATTTCTAATAATTATTCACTTGTCCATAAGTCTTGAACTACCTATTATCTTTTCCTCAAATTCGGTATGGAGCTTATACTTACTTGGGAAGTTGAATTTATTGACCTATCGTGCGGAATGGAAATCCAGGCTCGGCTTCAGGAAAAAATTTAATTTATTCGAAATTAAAAAAAAAACACGATGTATTGGATAATTAACAAAGTTCATCAAAATAATTGTGGAGAGGAGAAAAAACTGATTGGGTTTTGATACCATCAGTGTTTCTGCCACCAATTTTCATCGTAACACTCATAAACAGAAAGTTGAAAGTATATGACAATTTGAAAAATCAAAGTTGTTACAACTTTTTGGTAAAATCGGCAACACCGCATTATTGAAATTATGTGTTCACTTATGTATTTATGCGATCAAAAAAACTTTTTGGCTAGTTCTCCAGCAGAGTCTAATGAGCCGTTTCAATTCAATCAACCATTCTGATGTATATTATATCAAAGAACAGTTTCAGCTTTTGAACTACTCAAGGATAAGTTCAGGCTGAATTTATGTTGATTTCTTGCATTCTTATTGATGGTCCATCACCGCCCTATTAACGAGGAATAAGTAGGATTGATAATTGAAACCCATTTTTGACTATCAAATTTATTTTTCTATGGTCATAAGGTATAATCAACAAAAAACAAAATACTCAAGTATAATATATCTAAAATTATAATATATACATCATACAGGCAGTAGTATTTTGTTCCAGAAACACTCACAGCAAAAAAATTGTGCTTGAGTATTAAAAAAAAATTATAGCTACTACCCAAAAAAATTAGTGTAGGTGAAGATCAAGGTACTCTCAGAGATTACCAAAAGACGGACGAACACAATACAATGTTTAAAAAAATAAAATAGAAAATTTAAAAATATATCATTTTGTAGCTGCTACAGTTCACAAAAACGAATAACAATGGAAATTGGCACAAATCCGAATTTCCTTTGGACATTGATACATCATAGTTTTTTTTTCGATAGTTATCATTTCAGTCATAAGAACTTTGGAATGCACTGCTACCTATGGATATATATTTGAAAAAATTATTTGGTAAAATATCATTATGAGATTCAGGATTAACAGTTTTGAATCTTATTTCAGTAAAAATACACTAATCACTAAAGAGAAATTTGTAAAAATATATTCAATTATCAAAAGGCAATTTTAAAGGCCACAAAGTTTTTTCTGATGATCTTGAATATAGCCATGCAGTATAGTCACAGTTGGTTATGGAATGTTTGATTATTTTTATTTTCAGATCTGTGAAAATTGATTTTTTGGAATATTTCTAAGGATCTAGTCAATCAGTAGTTCAAAATGGACTGAGCCCATTCGTTCAGATCTGCTGTATATTATATTTTTTGCCCAAGCCCTGCATTCAACGTTGATGACGATTCCAGCTAGAGAAAAAGAAATAAGTTAGGAAGAAAATTTAAAAAAACCATAATGACTATCTTATGTATTTCTTCACATCAATTTATTTTTAAACAAATTATTTGTTTTGTATGTTGAATTGTTTAAAGTCGTCTCATATTTATTTGACCTTCGTTGAAATTCACTGAACTAAAATTGTTTCAATCTTTTGGGATTCCCAGAAATTCGTAGGATTTTTCGGTATTCCTTGGATTATTTTGGAATTTCATGCAATTTTTTTTTGATTCTTAACCCCTTTCAGAGTTTTTGTGTTACTTCAGAATACCTTGAAGTTCCTTGAAAGTGTTTCGAATTTATTGGAATTTCTTGATATTTCTTGGAATTTATCAAAATCGACCGCAATTCCTTGAATTTTTTTAGAATTCCTCAAAATTTCTTGGAATTCTTGCAATTCCTTGAGAGGTCTTGTAATTTTTCACTTTTATGTTGACTGTAAAATGTCTTGTAAATCTCTCCAATTCCTTGGAATTCTTTGCAACATCTGGCGATTCTTGTAAATAACATAGCCAACAAAACAATAAAATGTTCTACTTACGTATTGGTCTTTCGAATTTAACAGCTATTAAAGGGCTAAGGTACCCTTCAGCGTTCATGTAGGGGTAGAAATAGCCTGGAAATCCCTGAATGTATCTAGGGTAGTAAGTCATCGGTCCCAAATACTCCACGTCAGCTGGATTTTCCCCTTGGCAAGATATCCAAATATTTTGCCTCTGAAAATAACAAAATTCTGTCGAATGTCCGAATGAAAAATCCATTTGGTGATTCTCTTCTTTTTGAAAATAAAGTACTGAGTAAGTGTTTTTAATAATGTATCTTTCCTGACTGTAACTGTGACCAAGAGTCTGAAACTCAACTCAACAAAAAAGAAAATTGAAGTCTGGGTTAAAGTGATCTGGATCCAAGTTTCCTATATAGAGGTTTTCATCTCACTTTGAAGTTTGGAAAAAAATAATATATAAGTATTTTTTCATAAGATCAAATTTCACTTCAGAAAAAAATAAATAAAAAAGGAACTTTGCTCCTCCACCATTCCTATGACTTACTTTCTGAAAATCCACATTCACACGGAGACCAGAATTAACATACGATTCCTTGTGCCAGAACAACGTTGCAGACATCATCAATATGTCTAGATTTCCGGAAATTCTTTGAATGCATAATAACTATATCATAACAGCAATGGGATATAATAGGTTCTTCAATCCTACTTTGTCAAGTCTTATAAATAATTCCCATAAATCTCTCATTGGCTGAATGAAAATGATTACTAATAAAGATAAATTATGTTATTTCGCGATAGTATATATCTACAATTTTTCTTCTTGCAACAGCGCCTAATACTTCGAGTCCGTCCACACCTCTCAAAATACTGACAGGCACAAGAGGAAGGAGCCATGGGTGTCGGCTTCATTCTGTTCTGATCGATGGCAGTAAATTAGGAAGGATAGTATCATTGAATGTAGCCGATAGTGATTCATTGATTCAATGACATTTTCGTTAAGGATCGAGCTCTATTCGAGATATTTCAATGCATAAATAACAAAACCATAACCTGTCAGAATGAAGCCAACTACCCTCGGCATTCCTGTTCCGAGTGCGTTTGTGGTTATGTCGTTTTTGTTTACCAGTTTTATGTTTTTCATTCGTTAGCTATTTGCTAGCTGTAATCTTCACCATCAGCTATTTTCAGACTAGATTCAGAATGTACGTCACATTTTTCCGCCCGAAAATTAGAAATTGCTTTAATTTGGATATGAAAACGACTTGGACTTTATCGGTCGCCATTCTGTACAGAGTGGACATAAAACTGGAGAATTCCAAACATATTTTATGAAAATTCATCTGAAGGAAACTTCCCAATTGTTTTACTCGCAGAGACGTATCGAAGATTCGTCGTAACACACCAATGGTTCCTGCAATATTTCTGAAACAAAACTAAACTCTATGGGCTTTACCTCTTTAGTGTTATTTAAGCTCGCTATATGGTTCTTGAGCCCTTGCGGCATCTCGTCCGGCAAGTCGTAGGGATCGTCGTAATAGTCCGGGGTCCAGCCGTAGATCTTGTTCAGCTTGAGGAAGATGCAGGGCGAGTTCTTGTGGTAGTTGAAGAACTGATCTCTGTTGCATTCGCCCCAGTCCCTCACGTCCACCTCGCACACCTGGCCTATCTCTGGGTAGTCCGAGTGGGAGCACGGCTTTATCTGGCCGTTGCCCTTCGCTATTTTGCTCGGCACGTAATAATCTGGAAGGGGAATGTCGATCAACCAACCAATATTTATAGTAGATTCATAAAGCACAACTGAACTGATGAGAAAAAAAAAACAAAATGGGAATCAGTTGAAAGACAGCTCTATAGCTGATAATTCGCCTTGTTCCATTGAATTTGTATCATACCTACTTTTAGGATGTCTACTGAAATGTTTGTATATGAATATGTAATTTTTTTGATTACTTGATATGGCCAATAAATTTACTACTACTACTATCAATAATGGTGAGTATTTTTGGCATGAGTATTTTCCCAGGTAAGACTCACGGTAAGAGGGTTAAATGGAGGTAAAGTTGGGCAATTTTTTGAGTAACAAAATGCCGTTCTGATATTTGAAAACCTCCGAATACTTCTGAAGATTTTTGAAAAAACCGAATATTCGCGAATTCATTTTTATTTTTTCTGAAATCCGTAGAAATCCCAGGAATTCCAAGGAAATCCAAGGAATTTCAAGGAATTCCAAGGGAATCCAAGGAATTCCAAGGGAATCCAAGGAATTCCAAGGGAATCCAAGGAATTCCAAGGAAATCCAAGGAATTCCAAGGAAATCCAAGGAATTCCACGGAAATCCAAGGAATTCCAAGGAAATCTAAGGAAATCCAGGGATATCCAAGGAATTTCAAGGATATCCAAGGAATTCCAAGGAAATCCAGGGACTTCCAGGGAATTCCAAGGAATTTCAGTTGTTTGTACACCAGAATTCCACCAATCTGAGCTTATTTCAATGGTAACAAGGGGAAACTCACTGTCCAAAAATGACAGGATATTGTCCACCCAATACATGTAGCTGGTCTGGTTGGACCCTTGGAACCAGATGAGGGTGCTTTCTTCATTGTCAGTGGGCATCGGCCTGAACCCCAGGCCGGGATTGGTGCCCACTAGGGAGCTGTCCAGCTGCCATTTGGGGATGCGGGGGTCCAGGGTCTGGAAGAACACCCACATGCAGATGGCCACCAAAGCTGCCAGCATGCCATAGAAGATCAGGTAGAAGATGATGATTTTTGCTGAAAAAAAAAGAGGAAATTTTGATGTCTCAATTCAAGAAACAGAATTTTCAATTCATCCTCTGAAAAAATTGGAACGTGCCAACTGATGAGCAAATCATCAAATCACCAATCAACTACATTGGTCATATCCTGTAAATTGATTAAAATAATTGTTTCAAACTGTTTCATATTATTCTTGGTAGAGCATAATATATTTCTAATTTTCTAGGCACATTTCTTGGCGTTTTTATAGGTGGTGTCAGTATTTTCAATGAAAATGAATAAGTTATGTAAAAATCTCCAGATTGAAAATTGTGAAAAAGTATCAAGAGGCCGAGCAAGAGGCTCATAATTATTCATTTTCAATAACACCCAGAGATTTCGAAAACACTCGGGAAAACATTTCTAAAAAGAACCTAGCATATTTTATGTATTTTCAAATAGTATTTATATAACAATTAAATTTTGCAATAATAGAGATTGGTATAGAAGGACCCTTGGCGGAAGGAATATACACATCTGGCAACAATAATGTTCCTATAGACAAACCCACAAGCGTAGTTGCCCCATATACTTGAGTATGGCACGTGTGGCAAAAGATAATCCCGAGGATAATCCCTTTGGTCGGCCGAAAAATGTACTCGCTCGAACGAAGCCTATGGTAACGTTGCTTTCTTTTCTCTCTTCGTTAAAATTCCAATGCACACGGTTTATCCATAGGAACATTATTCTTACCAGATGTGTATATTTATATAGTAGCAGAGTAGTAGGCTTTCTTGAGCAGAAGTGGCAAACTTATTTTCAAGTATGTATTCGTTAATTAATAGGTACTACTTACTTCACCCCTAAAATACCCATTTTTATGTAAATATTGAAATGATAAAAACATCGAGATAAATATCCCCGAATCTGGTGATAAAGCACCAATACTGGCAACACAGGAACCTCAACAAGAACACAACACTCTGGGATAGTGTTCTCAATTATTAGCACCTTTATTATCAATTAACTTAAATCCTGGGTCTGTGTATCGTCTATTCCTCTGTGTATTAAGAAAAGCAGCAATGATGGCAATGCGAATTGATAAATCCCGAGATAAATCCTTTTAGAAGTCACGTTGAGAACAGTCAATGAATATTCTAATATATTACATAATTCACATATCGCATAAAGCTTTTGACATAAAGTTATCAATAAATAGGTATGTGACTGGATGATTATTTGTAGGTAGTTACTAGTTAGGTTCGTCTCATAGGGCTCATAGGGCTTCATGAATTAGTCAGCAATGAAACTAAAACGTCATGGAACAGCGATTTCATCAACTGTTTTGTCAAGTTTTGTTGTTGTCGCCAAGTCATACTCAAAATAATAGGAAATGGAAATTCGAATTATTACCAGAGTATTGAGTATTTAGTATTGAGTATTTATAGAGCTTCTTGAAGAGCCGTGATGCAAAGGTCAAGGTGGTCAAGACAGACAAGAATCTAACATAAAATATTGATGAGTATTTATAGAGCTTTTTGAAGAGCCCTGATGCGAAGGTCAAGGTATACAAATCAGATTGAGTGATGAAATCTCAGAAATTTCAAGCCTTTTTCTGCAGAAGAAAACGACACCGCTAGTTCACAGTCCGATCACTACAGGAAGTACAGGACTTACAGGAGTTCTCTGCCACACTCCGACTACTCTGAGCACCAACCCCAACTTCCGTCGTCAATGTCGTCATATCCGTATCCAAACCGTCAACTTCAAACTTCAAAAAGTCAAAGGTCAAATGTTATAGCTCAAAACCCAAAATCAAATGTCGGCTCAAAGTCGGCTCACTCTAGCTCAAAACTCTGAAAGTCCTGAAACTCCCTGTATGTCTTTATATTGAACCTGTGCTCAAAGAAGTGATTGATAATATTGATATTGGTTATTGATTGTGTTGTGACTCACAATTTGTAAGTGTAGTGTTTGTGAACAGAACAGAGGTTACCTATGAATTAAAATTGGATAGTGTGAATACTCAAATATATAATATTCTTAGGTATCATATTTAGGCAATGAAATGAATGTAAACAACATTTAGGTACTAAATAAACTACTATAGGTAGGTATATTTTTTCGATTTTCGGAATAGGTTCCTACGCGTTTCTAATAGTTTCTATGCAGGTTATAGGTACCTACCTGATAAGTCAGGTCAATTAGGCATTTGGCTAGTACCGAGGCTAGTACATACATATTTTTAAATCCATGTCATGTACCAAACATATATAGGTACCTCATACCAACCTAAGTAACAATATTTCATGAATGAAAATAATTAGAAAAACAACTGAACAACAGAAGAACAAACCATGACAGTTTTATTGACCATTGACATACCCAAACTATCGGGTGTCCTGCCCAATACAGTTCCTTCTTTCCTATTATAGAAACTATCTCTCCTTCTGTACCCTTCTCGGGCCAACACTGGTTTAGCCATCTTCACAATTTGCAGAAAATACCACCAAAAACTTCACTAAAAATCAACTTTTCACATAGCCTAACCACATTTCAACGTTTACGTTTACGCGTTTACATTTCTCGAGCTTACTCATCCAGGTAGGCGAGGCACTGGCTGGCCGCTGGCGTGTCTTTTGTTTTGCCGTGTTGCCGTACCGTACCTTGAGTAATAAAATAAGCAAGCAGCTACACCACTTACACCAGCTACTCTGCTGATGAATGATTGTGTGGTCAACACAGGTCAACCCTACCAGGACTACTCAGTATTTATCGTATCACATTGCAGTGTTATATCGTGAGTCATGAGAAATCCAACTTCTAAGCAATGTGTGGGACTGAAAAAACACATTACTTCTACTCAGTAGAAGAACCGATGAAACCCTATTTCTGATGAATGACCCTTTTAAACTGAAGACAAATAGGTAGAACTGTAGAACATAGCTCTGCATCCTGAAGAAGCATCTAAGTACATATTTATGGATGGACCTATGACCTACGAACCAAATGTTGACATGTAAAACTTTTAGGTAGACTTAAAGTTTTGGAACAACATTCTAGTTTTATTGGATCTAAAATTTATAATAAAATCCCACCAAAAATAAAAAGTCTAAATATTATAAGTTTCGAAAAAAGGTTGAAGGCTGGTTTATAGTAAACGTGAAGAAATCGATGATGTTTTAATCAACTCCTATTCCATATTTTATTCTTGTTTTTCATGTATCTTGATTATTTATACGTATATCTTGATTATTTTTATTTAATTTGAGTATTTCCATAGTAAAAAAAATAATGTTTATACATGTAATAATGTAGGTATCTCCTTTACACACAGATCACTAACCTATATGTGAATTAGATATACAATTCGAAATATATTTGTAAATAATATTTGATGAAAATCTGTATATTTCACTTGATTCAATAAATAAATAAAAATCCACGATGCTAGAGTGATATCCGGTGATATCAGTTCGAGCCCCAGCTAATGGATGACCATTTTTCATGAATATTATGTATTGTCGAGTGTATTGTATATTAGGTCGTGGTTCGCATTGTAATCTTAGCAGCATCTCGGTGCTCTAGAAATGGTTCAAAATCCACTATAAGCTGTATAGGTCTCGTCGAATTACTCGTATTTCCTTATATGTATTATGTATATTCCGCACAAGTATCGACTTTTGGAGTGTTCATTTAAAGCTTCAAAGCATCAATATACCTACTAATTTTACAAAGCATTTCATTGATGATATGATGATATGCGGGTCTTACAAATCGAAGACCATACGATGACCGTAGAAAAGGAACATTATAGGAATTTCCTTTTTTTTGCGCTCGAAAAATAAAAAAGTAGCGAACTACTAATCAGATCAAGTTGGCAGAATTCATTTTTGAGATAGCCGTGGATATAAAACGGTGCAATTTTCACAAATAAGTTGGTATAATCTCGGAAATGAGGAATTGACCTCAAGACCTCATGTATATATCTGGGCTCAAGCTCAAGTGCTTTTATATTGTTTAATGAGATGACGCATAGTCTTGTTCCGCTGTTTACAATTCATCAGGTCATTACAATCGCTTTATTTATCTGACTAACTTTATTCCAACCATTTCCATTCACTAATCATCATTTAATTGCAAACCAAAATTACTTCGTTACGTTTATTCCATGAAAAACATTTTGAAATATTGAAATCCTTCACCAATCGCAGTTTGCAGTTTCTATAGAAAACATTATACCTCGCATTATACGTTTTTGTAAGGAATAGCAAATTTGAATATACATATTTCGATGGAAAAAATACTCGATTTAATCATATCAGATTCAAAATATTAACGTATCTGCTGCTCAACCAATGCTGCAATCGGTTTAGAAGTCCATCGCAGATCTAGGATCTAGTGACATTGTCCTATACCTATTGGTAAAGCGAAAAATATCGTCATCGTCATCTATCATCACTATAGTAGGGAAGTTTACAACCTTTAATATTCAGTTTCCAAAGATAAGAAGGGAGAGGGCACTTTTGAGAAGCACAGTACTACACTGTTGATGGCTTTTGTTGTGCTTGTACTGCTAGTTCCGAAAAGTAAGTCAATAACACAATCTACGAGGAAGAACTGCGAGTCCTTTTATCTTCCATTCCACTTCATGTTTTTTTATGTTCTGGTTCCCACGAAAAGGGATATCCTGTAATGTTCAGAGAACATCGTGAGAACCAAGGGAAAGAAGGTAGGAATTGGTGTTCTTCTTAAATTTCTGGAGGTTATATGCCTCGGGGAACACCTCCCTTGCCAATGTGTTCCAGAGCCTCGCTGTTCGTTGGATGAACGAGTCTTTGGAAAGAGATGTTCTGCAGGTCTCCAAAGTGACCACGAATGGGTGTGAAGCCTCAACAACCAATAAGTTCGCAATTTCTCAAAATCAAATTGCAGAATCAGATTCAGAGCTGGGCAGTACTCGAGTACAAGTACTCAAATATTGTACTCTGAGTACATTTTGTGTACTCAGTACCCAGTACCCGAGTACATTTTCAATAAAGTACCCGGTACTCGTACCCGTAGCATTTCGGGAAAAGTACCCGGTACCCGCGTTTATTAAACGCGTACATTTTCCGGGTACTTTTTGCAAGAATAAACTTGTCTGTGCATATGCGAGTGCAACACGGGAAACCCCTGTTATATGTTATATCATCATTATCAGTCAGCACTTCAATCAGAACCAAACGCGGAGTTTTTGTTTTGTACACTGTGTAACAGTTATAGAGTCAAGTGTTTTTTGTATCGTTTCGATCTGTTGTTTTCTTAAGACTAAACCACACTAAACTAAGAGGTAAGAGTATAGTATTTTGCAATAATATTTCTCTTATATAGAGATACGTATAGACGTGATCAACGACAGATAAGTAGTTTGATTTTTGCTTTAATTTACGTATATTAGTAATGAATAAGAAATGAATGGGTCAATTTTATAATTTGTAAAAGACAATTGTTGAAGTTGTTGATATTATTATTGTTAATAATAACTAATACTGATGCAAAATTTCTCAATTCTCTATTCAAATGTACTTGAAATGAGTAGGTACCCGTGAAATTCGGGTACTTGTACTCGGAGTACTTTACTCTGAGTACATCCAATGAGTGGGGTACTCGGTACTCTGTACTCGTTCTCCAATTATAAACAGTACCCGGTACCCGGTACTCGAGTACAATTTATCAGTACCCTGCCCAGCTCTGATCAGATTGACAGATATTTGATTACTTCAAGAGAATGATAAAGATGCCAGCAAAGAGATGCCTGCAACGCAAGTGTAATTCCTGTTGAAAATTCAAAATTTCACGTCGATAATTTTCTGATTTAACTATAATGTAATATCTTCCCAATATTGATTCGTTTCTTTTTCCTGTCATAGAAAAAAAAATCTCGACATTTTAGCTCACGGTTTTTTGTCTATCTCCGCTACGCGTCTACTACTTTTTTCTCTTGAATAATAAATAACATTTTCTCTACGTGTATGTGTGTTCACTGATGAATTGGTAGATCGGATTTCGACCTAAAAATCGGAACTTTATTCTCTCGAAAAATCCTCCAAGAATGATTAAATTTTCAGGAAATCGCAAATAAGACCTTACTCCAGCTTGTCTTAGTCCTTCCGCAGAACCGACTGGTCTTGGGGTCCCAGATGAACCTCATCGCCCTTTGCTTCTTCGTCAGCTTCATCTCGTCCAGCCTCAGAAAATACTGAGCCTGCGCGCTCAGCAACTCGTCCTGCTTGCTCATCTGCCTGACGATGGGCATTTTCTTCTGCTGCTGTTTCGTCATTTTCTGGAAACCGAAAACCAAAATTCTGTGTTTCAACTAACGGTCACCTTCCACTCGGCTACCACAAAGACTGTTAAACCGAGCAAAGGTCCTAAGTGGCCTGTAGGAGGGCCCGGATATTAGCGATTTTGTCTCTGAATAAAACACATCCGTGACTGAGGTTCTCAAAAGTTCATTTCAATGCCCTTTGTATAGTTTGTGATAGCGGTGGAACATGGTTATTCCCTTTATTCAAATGAGGATATCTTCGTGAGAGCTATAACGACCACCAAAGGAAACCGCACGTTTTATAGGGAAAATTGGCTTTCTGTCGAATTGGCTGAATTTTTTATATGTTATAGTCCAAGACATTCTGAACCAAATATCCAAATACCCAACCGTTCTAATGACTAGGTTTGGCGCTAGAGGCCGCTGAAGTCTCAATCTTGATTTCTATTCTCCTGATGAATAATGCTCTTTGATATTTTATTTTGATAGGATAAGTCACTACTAGAAGTATTCATAAATATTGCTGCTACTGGTCAACAATATTCATCAATTTTATAGGAAAGGATATCGAGAAATGTCCTATTTCAATTACAAAATACGAATTTCATGGTCATCCTTTGTATAAGGAGAATAAGATACACTACGATATCAACACGTTCCATATAACAGTAGCTGAATGATATTCGAATCAAAAAATATTTTAATATTCAATATTAATGTGATGATGTTTTTTCTAGTATTAATCTCCTATTTGTCAAGGTTGGAGAAGGAATGTCATTTTGCGTTTTCCCTCTTGAAACAGTTCGTATATATAGCATCAATAAATCAGCACAAGTAACAAAGTTCACAAACTATTCAATATCTGCGATCCTGCCTCATCAACTTATGATGATCAATTGATAGTTGGCCTGATGACTGACAGTTTTTTAGAATTTGATTTGATGAAGAAAAGCTTGTATCATTTCCGGTGAGATCGGAGATATGAATAGAATTCATCATGCCATGAGAATATGTCCTAAAGTGTCTTTAGTGAGCTGTTACCACAGTTGAGAGAATATTTTAGAGATATCCTATATTGACCATCCTGTACATTTTGATAACTGCTGTCGTTATCTATCTGCAACAATCTAGTATCATGTGGTATGAATGTAATGGAATCACCTTGATAAGACAAACGGGTACAAAAAGTCTTTCATCTAACAATTCGAATCATCATTCTGGGTTTGTTCGTAACCCACGATATCGGGGGTACCTAACGGTTTGTTGCAGTTTTGGTCGTACTCTCACTCGTATTACAAAACTAACCACATAATTATATACTACCTATATATACAAAACGAAATATTATTGGGAATATTCGTGGGAAGCAGTCGAATGTGACCAATATTAGTTAGATTTCTTCGTTTTTTGTCGAGCTTTAGAAAATGTTTATTTTCTTTATCAAGACTTTCTAGAACATCGAATGAACAATAATGTTAATATATGAAATTAGGTATTCTCCCTGCAAATTTTAGTCAGCGTTTTTTTCTTGCAGTAAGTATATTAACTTACTTGTGAACTCCCGATCACTCAGGGACACTAAATGGGAAGATAAAAAAAAAATTTAGACACGATATTTCGACAACTTGGCAGTATACTTTTCAATTGGGAAGAAGTAGTATCCAAAATACTGTTAAACGTATTTCATTTTTTATTTTTCCCCTGATAATTTGCACTCATTTCATAGATTTTTTTTTTATCTTTAGTTTTCTTTTCTACGAAAGTTAATTCGACTTGCCAAGCCTCTGATTCATTTCATCATAACTCTCACGAAGTTCGAAAAACTCTTGATAAGCATTGTTGCCTCGGCAATATTAGTTATTTCACTTTGAAGTACTTTAGGAAAATGGTTTGAGCAATTGAATATATTGGAAAATAAAACTAAAAGAATCAAGAATTCAAAGTTTTCCAATTTTTTCTCTAGTCCAGTTGCTTCGGATTGTTCATCTTTATTCTTGGTATATATTCAAAATAATTTCTGTTAGCGACTTTATAACATTTATATGAAATCAAATCGATAAGATTCTAAATCATTGTTCCTTGATGACTACCCATCTTATCAACTGGCTTTGAAGAGCATTAGAAAAAAGGAAGAAGCAGCAGAACGGCGCCTCCTGCTCCAGTCTTAGATAAATGGACTGTAAATGTGAATTTTTTTTCAAACATCAAACCTAAAACAAGCGTAATATATCAATCAACGCTAAACCTACCCATATCTAATGACCATCACATGAATTATAAATTTTGATATTTTCAAATAATGTATTTTAAACACTTTGTTAGTATTTTGACTTTGCATGCGGATTACCTGTAGACATTTCAATTTCATTAATGTGGATATTCTTGTGGATCTATAGTCTAGATACTATATTGTATATGTTTGATCGTGAAATAAGACTACCAAGAATGTATTGTTGTTCTTATATTTCTGTTATTTTTGCTCTGTCTTTCTATCTAATTACACTAAAACTAAGTACAACACGAAACCCAATCATTGCTCACTCCTTTCGCTCCTATTGTCTTCTTGTGTAGCCGTTGAACTCCGGGCAACTTCCACGCTTTGCCCGACAGATGGCGTGGTGAAAACTTGGGAAGCGAATGGTACCGAATAGGCGGTGAATCCCGGGTAAGTATACAAATTGTTGTAGCCGTACAAGCCATTAATGTTGTAGGAGTAGCCGAAGGCAGAAACTGGAGCTGTCCTGTAGGCAATGCTAGGGGTTAGGAAGCCAGATCTGTGAGAAAAAAACGATATCAAACACCATGTAACAAATGATATACAAAATGGCTGGAATTCCGCGCTTGCTCGAATGAGTATTACCTGAATGCCAAGTGTTGTACAGGGGCTAGTGGAGCTGCAGTAATGGCAGGAGCAACTACAGCTGGGGCAGCTACAGATTTAGCTTCTACTGAATTTGAGACTACCGTTGGAACTGCGTCAACTTGGATTGCACGGACCTTCAACAGAAACTACAGATAAAACCAAGCATTTACCTTCTAAGATCGAAATTTTGGATAGACAAATGGTGGTATTAAATACATTTTTGGGATTGAAAATATTCCAATTGCATTTCAAGTTGCCACTGAAAGGACTTGTTTGACTGGCTATATCTCGTACAGGTCTCTCCATGTAGTGGTCGACGGAGTTTCATCTGACTCTCTTATCATAAATGCTGGTGTTCCGCAAGGATCTATTCTGGTACCAACACTATTTCTACTCCATATCAACGATTTGTTGGAAGCAACTTTATGTCCAGTAAACAGCTTCGCGGATGATAGTACCCTCCACACCGCCTTCTCTTCCAGGGCTTCAATACCAGCCAGGCAAATCAGAAACGAACGAGGAAGAAATATTGACAACATAAATATGGACTTGGCAACAATTCTCGAATGGGGATCCAATAACTTGGTAGATTTCAATGCAAACAAAACGCAAGCATGCGTTTTCTCTAGAAAAGCCGCGATCTCACTGTGCCCAACATAAGCTTGTCAGGAGTAACCATACCTACCTTAGAGGAAATCCGTTTCGATGGTTGATATAAATATAATATAGCAATAACCTTTCATGGGAAAATCACTTGAGATCAATTGCTAAAATTGCATCCCAAAAACTTGGTTTTCTGTTTCGGGCCAGGAGCTATTTTACTTCCAGTCAGCTGCTTATGATCTATAAGGCACAGATGCGACCTGTCCTGGAATACTTATCCCATATTTGGAGTGCAGCACCCAAACATACCCTGAAACTGTTGGATTCTGTCCAAAAAAAGGCCAAGGTACCGAACCTGCAGATACAGCATCAGGAACCTCATGCAAAATTATCTATAAACAACAAAAGAAACGAACTGGTTTTTCTACTACAACCAAATTCCTAGCTCTATAGCATCCACAAGAGTCTAGCTGTGGCTTTAGATCCAGCTTCAAGAACGTCAGCATTGGACCAGTGGAAGCAGGAATCAAACACTCACCTTAGCTTCCTCTACAGCAGCCAAATGCTTAGCTCTCGCCTCCACAACCTCGGGGGTATCTTGCACAGGAGTCGGCTGAACCAAAGCAGGAACTTCCGGTACAGCAGGAGCAACAGGTAGGTTGGAGGCGGCAACCCTGAACCCGTGGACAGCATCGGAGGTGTACTCTACCGACTGGACTTTGCCGTCAGGATCGACGTAGCTGTAGCTGCCGGTGGTGCTGCCATCTAGCGATCTGGACTCCGCTTTGGCCGAGAGGTAGTTGGAATATCCGTAGGTGTACTGGCCTAGCTCGTCTTGGGCGTGGAACTGGCTGGAGGCGGGCACTGAGAAGGCAGCTAGGGGAGCTAGGACGGAGGCGCTAGCGACGGCCAAGATGGCGGCGAAGGCGATGATGGTGTTCATGTTGGTTTGTCAGAAAGGCGCTGCTGAACGGTCAGTACTCGCACTACTGTGGTGTTTGGTCGGCCGGCGGGCTGTTTTATATGGAGAGATTTTGCCTGAAGGGCGGTTTTTTTCGTGCGTGTGATATTGGCAGAGACTTGTTGACTTTGAGACTTTGAGAGAAGTTTTATTGTAGCTCGGGTTTCAGTGGCAAGGTCGCCTTTTGGTGAAGACAGCGTCTCTCGTGGATTGATGTTTCACTGTTTAAAATAGTAGGGCTAGTGTAATGAAACAATTGACGGTAACCCGAAAATAATGGAATAGGTAATACCTACCATCCAATATACGGTGTCCGCGATAAATTATACGTAAAATATATAATAGGAAAGGAGTACCTACACTAGAAAAAATATTCCAGTTGATCGGTTGTGCATATCCGGCAACACAAAAATCGATTTTTGACAAATGATACGTGATCACTGGTATGGCGGCAAATTGAAAATGAAATACTATATGAAATAGCAAAAAGTGCGAATTTCGATGGCAAGATTTCCAAGGAACCAGTGGGTATAGAATCCAGAATATATCGAAGAAATCATCGAGTTATTTCAAAAAATTCATTGGGTATACTATATGTTTTTATAGTCAAGTGAAAATTCGGGAAAACCAGCGTAAATACTTGTCTGATGTATATTGGCTGGGGACACCAAAGATAGCTAACTTTCTCGTTATATTTTCGATATAAAAATATGAAATGGGAACTTTGGAAGATATTGGACAAAATTCTAATTTTCTCTAAATATACCTCGTGTTACCTCTACTTAATAATATTAATATTCTTTCCGTATCTTTCATACCCACATATCATATACTCATTTTGTGTCCATAACTTATATTTGTCTTCATCGATATCATCGATCGATTGAATGTAACAAAGCTAAATGGAAAAATGAATGAACCTTGAAGAATTGATACATTTTGGATATATGACGAGTAGATAATAAATGATTTCGTTCAATTATTAGCTCGATTGTATGTAACAAAGCTAAATGGAAAAATGAATGAACCTTGTCTCTTGAAGAATATCTGCATTTGTAGTACAGGGTCTGTTGATGATTTTTTTTTTCAACTTTTACAATCTTTATCTCGAAAACTACGGGTCTTTGGGAAAACGTTTATCAGAACTTGAATATTATTTCTTGCAAGGAGTCTACCCATTATTGCAGGTATAACACCCTGTATATATTTTTCAAAATTATTGCGTTCAAAACCCACTATTTGCAAGACGACTAAGTTCTGAAGGTAAAACCGGATTTTCAAATATTGGTTTCAACAAAGATTAGGGGAATGTATGAATCTATGGTTTCAAGATGGCAAAAATTCCCACTAGAATCAAATTTCTCTGCAAACAATATGATACCATATTAGTAACATTTCTTATTAGTCGATCATCACATATTGCGACTGAAATACTGAAAAGAGAATCAAAAAATATTCAGGGTCGGACTGGCCAGAGAGAGGTGTGGCGAGAAATATCTTTAGCTACCATTATTGAAATTTTTGATGCCATCACCTGTAATATAGCAAGAGAAGATGAGACAGAAGAAAAAAAAAGATAGTTAATTTTGGTAACAATTTTCAAGTGCAAAAAATAGTGAACAAACTATAGGTATAGGAGTAAGGCTCATTATTCCTGGGGTGATTGAAGCCCTTTCGGGCTGTCCTTTAGGAACACTCGGGAAACTCCACTCAAGGGATGGAATGGGTCAATTTTAGTCCTATCGTAAGTATACAGGGTGAGTATTTATGGGGCCAAGCCAAAGACAAGAATCTCACTGAGCTTAGGCAAATACGCGACGGTGTTTCAGGCAGAAATTATTGCAATACATCATTGCGTGAAAGAATTGATAAGGCCACTTTGCCACTGTGAGGGCTTGTCAAGACTAAGGTTCCTTACGCTGGGTGAGGAAAAACCAGAAGCCCAGAGATACACAGGGGATCTGAAAGCTAGCCTATGGAGTCTCATAGAGAAGACGGGGCTAGCCGAAGAACTCTAATCGATTTTGAGGGCAGACACAATAGATCTGAAAAGGTCGCGGTGTGGAGGCAGATAGCCCGAAGGCCCCATTCTGAATCTAATCTAATCTAATACAGGGTGAGTCAAAAATGTGTACCCAGCTTCCTGGAGAACATTGAAAAATAAGTATAGTTTGATGAATAAACTAATGGCCCGAAATGTGTATTAAAGGAGAAATATATCCTTCCAAAATTGATGAAATTAAAATACTAATGTGTGTTCATGTTTTTCGAGGGTAGATCATGGTTTTTTGAAGACAATTTTTTCTCTTGCATTCTTTTCGGTGAAAAAAACAGAAGCATCTGATAGAGAAAAGGAAGCGACAAAAAAATGGTACTCCTGTCAAAATACAAAAAATGAATAACTGTTCTCGAGATATTTGAGTTTTTTTAGTGACATTATATCAGTAGGTAAATTCATCAGTAACAATATTTCAGTAGGCCTCGATCTTCTTGGCCGGCGACCATCTCTTTTTTTCGTTTTGAAACATTCTTTTTCACGCAATCTTTGCACAATCCTCAAAATTGTTCTAGAATTTGGAACGCGTCAAGCGGGAAACATCTCTGAATCACGAATAACCTGCCATTTCTTGAAATCCCAGTTGGAAATCGCAGTAATAATATAAACAAGCAAAAAAAAACATACGAATAAATTAACAATGTTGATGTCATAAACGTTAAAATTGAGAACAAAATTGGTCATGGCTCCTAAGATATTGTCACCGATAAATTAATATGCTGATATCAAGACACTACAAAAACTCAAATATCTCGAAAACGATTGAATTCTTCGTATTTTGATGTTTTTTTACCAAAAATAATACAGGAAATAGGTTGTCTTCAAAAAATCATGTCCCACGCTCTTTAAACATCCTTCATAACTATAGCAGAAATATAGAAGTGTATCAGAAAAATGTATTTAACAACTTACATTCATGCAGGGGATTTCAATTTGGAAGTTTTACAAAAAAAAATTTAATTTGATCAACTTTCATCTTCAGAAAGCTTGGTACACATTTTTGACTCACCCTGTATATTGTGATACTTGATATTTTATACTACACATTTTTGTAGGATTTAAATAAGCAGGTTAAATTTTCAAAACTGATTCACATTATGTGACTTACCCAAATTACTCAAATAATTACCTACTCTATTTTGATGTCAGTTATAGAAAATTTTGATTCTCTTTTCTGTATGTCCATGTGTGTATGTATGTATTTATACGAGTCAATATTCGTCATAAAATATTTAATTCTTATATGTATAGTATGTAAAACGTAGTAAGATTTGTAATGACTGATTCTACATTTATATGAAGAATTACCTATATGATAGTCATCGACTCTTTGTTTGGAAAATCAACTGCAAGATAAATTTTCATTTTCATGTTGAAAACGGGAGCATATCCTTTGTCAAAACCTCAAAAAAATCCCAAAAAATCAAGAGAAATCAATAAATGTTTGTAGTCCGATCCTGACGCGTATCAACCATCAACCTCAACCTTGGGTGTGGTCACTGGAGACGTCCATATCAGGTAATTAGCAAATTAATTCGAATCGAAACTCGAAATAAAATATAAATGAACTAGTTAGCAATGAGGGGCACATTCTGTGGAACCAGATATTTAGCGGGAGGAGGAACAAAACAATACTCGTTCTTTCGACGCCATTGACATTCGCCAAGGCTAAGAAAATCCAAGAATTGTTATTCAATAACGAAATAGTATTTCATTACGAGTCTGGAAATAGGGATTTTTCCGTGTGACAAATTTTCGTGTGAGGCGAAGACGAACACGCAAGCACGGAAAAATCATTTCTGGACTAGTAAGAACGATATTTTTCATTACACTCCGATGAAAATGAAATTATAATAATAAAATATTTCATAAAAAAGACACAAAAGAAACTTGGAACATTTTTGTGAGGAAAATATCAATTCTTTCTCGGTTTATTCAACAGAAAACAATTACTTTCCTGATGGCTATATGCCACACAAACGATAAGAATTCGAAAACAAAATCTTCTGAGGTAGAGAATTTGCATTCTACTTCACAAAAGATAAAAAACATTTTTTAATACAAGCGTTTATGAAAAATGCACTACACTCTGCACAGACACACGTACACCCTCTCCTCTCACAGACAGACAGACATCGGTGAAACTTGGATGGCACATTAGACGTTTCTGGTGAACCAGACAACGGATCATTTTGAAAATTCAATGGAAAACACATTCGGACATTCTCTAGCCAACTAAAATATTTTCGACAATGCGGTGTTGCCGCTTTTATTAGAAAGCAGTAGCAACTTTGATTTTTCAAATGGAACACTCTGTATTTTATTGCATTTTAAGATTCTCCCTGAAGAGCTGATTTCATCGATGTATCATACTTGGGGTCTAGCGGAAATGATTACAGAGATATAGGGTGTGAAAAATCGACATTTTTCAACTTTAGGAATTTTTTTTGTCGAAACTATTCATTATTGGTCAAAACGGCTCACATGTCCCTATCTCAACTTTTGATCAACTATCTACTTAAATTTAATTGAAACGAATACAGGGTGGTGCAGAATTCAGAATCTTGATCACCCGGTATATGTCCCAATTAATTATCAGTAGATAGTTAATCAAAAGTTGAGATAGGGACATGTAAGCCGTTTTGACCAATGATGAATAGTTTCGACACAAAAAAATTCTAAAGTTGAAAAATGTCGATTTTTCACACCCTATATCTCTGTAATCATTTCCGCTAGACCCCAAGTGTGATACATCGATGAAATCAGCTCTTCAGGGAGAATCTAAAAATGCAATAAAATACAGAGTGTTCCATTTGAAAAACCAAAGTTGCTACTGCTTTCTTATAGAAGCGGCAACACCGCATTGTCGAAAATATTCTAGTTGGCTAGAGAATGTCCGAATATGCCATCCATTGGATTTTCAAAATGATCCGTTGTCTGGTTCACCAGAAACGTCTAATGTGCCATCCACCGTGAATCAGCCTGTATAAAACAAAAGCCCTATACATACCGATTTTGAAAATAATCGTACTATAATCACAAAACTCATCCGCCATTATGAAACTGCCATCATGAATTTCTCAATTTTGATGGGAGAATCATAATTCCCGACCCAGAAAACCCCCAGATATCAACTTTGAATAGAATCGGATCATAAATCACAAAATGCGTTCGCCATATTGGGTCAGCCATCTTGATTTTCCCAATTTTGATGAAATAATCATAATCTCCGACCCCGAAAACCCCCAGATCCCAATTTTTAATAGAATATTTTGGAGCCGTCATTTTATATTTTTCTCTAACAAAAATTTCATGATGCATTATTGTCACCATAATTAATGATAATAATATAAATGAGGTTGACTTTGGGTTTACCATGTCAAAGTTTGACACCCGTTATATTAGTATATATTAGTATTCGTATGAACTTTTTGTATTAGAATCACTCAAAGAATGCCCCTTCAAATTTGACCACTTACTTTTATAACATCTTGTATGAACCCCAATATCATATTATGAAAAAGACCTCATATCATTACTTTATTTTCACATGCTACGTGCTGCCATCTATGTTGAGCATCTCTGAAATACTGTATACTGTGCTGTTGAGGTGGCGATACGTGCTGCTATCTATGTTGGGCATACCTGAAGTACTGTATACTGTGCTGTTGAGGTGGGGATTGTGGTGAAACAGCTGTGTGGTGTGTATAATCTCTGCTATAGCCTTTAAACAGATTCATTTTACAAAAAGTAGATGGCAGTAGTAGGGCAATATCTCAAACATTGCTTCAATAAATTATTATCATGATCAATTATTATTGATTGTCAATAGTTTGACTTTCATATATTCCTATATCATATCAGAATAATGCGGTAATAAATAAATATATTATAGTCGTAGAGGTGAGTGGCAAAAGAGGCTGAAATTTCGATTTTGATATAATATGTTGTCACATGTATATTTAGGGTCCAATAAACAATATAGCCTGCCGTCAGTCAGTCAGTTTCAGCGATTAACGCAGGGGTGGCATCAAAGCTGTTAAAAAACTTATATGTCGCAACAGTTTTCTAAAATTTGAAAATTGGTTTCTGAATAGTAAATCAACTGTGAAATGATGTGGATACCGTCAGCGTTCAAGATATGTGGTGATATCGTAATGGGACGCGTCAAAGTCATAAAAAAATATGGTTGCAGAAACTGTTTTCTAAAATATTGAATTTGGTATACAAGTTGTTAATAATAGAAAAAAAAAACATAGTCAGCCCGAACATACGCCGTCAGCAGTAGATACAACATTTTTTTATTCACAAAAGGTCGGAAAGAAATTAAATTTTGTGGGATGGTAGCGATAGGTTCCTTGATAGTCCACAATAAGTGTTTGCGACATCGGGGAGTTACCGCTCGGCCGGTGAGGGGATGAAAACTCAGACTCGCTGCGCTTGTCAGAGAATAGCACCGTTGGGGTAGGTGCTATTGAAAAAGTGTTCGTATTGAAGATGTAGAGAACAAAATTGTGCTCAACTTTGATACCCGCATTTTTTGTCTCCGATCAATAGTTTTCGCTCTACGGCCCGCCAAAGTTGAGGGGTAGTTTGCAATTTTCAATACAAAATCAGAAATTCAATCGCGGATTAAGAAGAAGATGGCTACCAAACAATACTGTTATATTTTTTTTGCTACAAGAGTTATTTTCGGTGAATCGGCACATGCCCGATTTGATACACTTTATTCCATGTAATAAAAGATATAATTTTTTAAAGCACGCTCCTTCGATCATTACTTCGATGTGAGCATTTAATTATCCTGATCAACGGTCAATATTTTCTTCTTGGTAGGTAACCTATAAACTTTTTTATTTTTGTGCAAAAATTAAATTTTCAACTCCTTGGCCATTCTGAAGCATTTTACTCGTGTACTTCCATAAAATTTTACGGGCTGTGTATGTTCTGCATCTCAATATTTACCTACCTCATGAAAATAAACGATAAGAATAAGTTTTTGAAATTTTTTTCTAGCCCTACCTCCATGGGAGACACTTTAATCGTGGGTTTTCCCATGAAATCTTGCATATTCGGTATTTTTGCCAATCAAATCATCTCAATTTTCTCAAATATCCACTCATCTTATGAAAATACAAGATGGCAGTTTTCTAAAAATTTTCTCAATCTCCTCTGGGGGGCACTATATCCGTGTATGTTTCTTCCACGAAATCTTGCACACAGGGTGATTTTTATGGGCTTCGAAATCATTTGACTCGCAAATTATCCATTTCACAAGATTTTCCAGAGTAATAAATAATGTTTGAGTTCATGAAAATAATAATAATCTAACGACAAACACCGGGTCTGATGATAACACGAGTGATAAGTTATTGGTACAGGTAGGCCCCGTAACAAATCCATCGACGCGCAAACACACTATTTTGTCAAATCCACACTGTGCTAGGAATACGAATTCGAATGTAATACAGTGTTGAGCTCCACTTCCATAGAGTCGCTCGCTACTCGCTTCCTCTGGTCTCTGGTCGCTTCCGTTGTTGTGACGACTAGACGACTATCTAAACGAGTCAGCTCCGATAAAAATAATAAAAAAGGTGAGAACCACACCACGACCGACTGAGAAACAAGTTTTGTGGTACCTACTCGCTTTTCCCGTGGCTGTTATTTTGACATTTCCAGTTCCAGTTTGTCATCATCGCATAATATTTTAGCATATTAGGTAACTCGTTATTGTTGTGGTTACTGGTTATGGCCATCGCAGGCAAAGAAAGTGACAATGGTGTGGTGGAATTTCAGTTTTACCGGCACGAGAATAGAACAAAGTGGCAGAATTTCAAGAATGCTCTCTACGACAAGTCAACGAACCAAATACTGGGTAGAACCCCGAAGAATTGGGGTGAGTTTTATGGGTTCCGTCATGGAAGCATAGATCGAAGGCACAGAAGTTTGTTGTTGAATTGTTATTGTTAACATAACCTAGTTGGGCTGGCATTGTTTGTTGCTTTTGCAATGCTTATCAACAAATATAGTGCAGTGGCGTAACAAAACTTCGGAAGGGGGTGGAATTTAGCGATTTACGTGTAGGTCGCTAAAATATTGATCAAACTTAAACACACTTTTTACGTTCTGTGACCATTCTAACACATTTCCATGGTTACGGTTTATCACACTCGCGTATTTAAATCACGGTCCTATCTTATCACCACTCGTTTTTGATAAATACGCCGGAAAGTAGTAAATAAAGTATATACCTATATGTAGTAGGATATATAGATAATAAAAATGTCACCAGTATTATACCGGGTGAACTGGAACCAATGTATCCCCCTGTACCTGTTAATTGTTCTGGTTGGATATTCAAAATTTTGGGTACATCGACCCGATATGACGCTTCCGATTTAACCGGAAGTTTACACATTATCATCTGCCATTTTGTTTTGGATCCAAATTTTTTTCTGACATTGAATCAAGATAAAATGTATCAAGTGACGATTGTTAGAACAATCTCCATACATCTCGATACATACATACATAAAAAAAATTTAAATTTTTTTGAAATGTTCGATACCATCAGAGTCAGATTTTTCTGGATCTTCAGCCGTTTTAAAAAATGTTACTGAATCCAACACTTCACGAATCTTATTAGGTTCGTCGTTGTGATTTCGATGGTACTACGATTTTTTTTTTCCTCGAATATTTTCGATAAAACAGGCCACGACCTTTAGGGCTATACGGCAAAATTTTGGGCTAGACTTTGACATTGATCTCAATTTTTAGTAACGCCCACTGTTGAAGAGTGAAAATGATAGCCCTCATTGATATTTAATTAATTAAATATAAGTGAAGTTACCACTATTTAGACTCACTTGAGCATGTCAGTGTCAAAGCAGCTATCTGATATCATATCAGCTGTCATTCGGGACACTTTTAGTATCTAGGAGTTGAACTTCAACTTTAGCTTCTAGACACTGAACGTGTTGCCTAGCAACGTATACATATACTTATCATTTTATTGTGTCAGTAAGAGAAACGTCAACTTCAAGAGCTAATTTTGGAATAAAAATGGACGACTTTTGAATAGAATGCAGAAAACCCCATTTTTAAAGATATCCAAACTAAAAATAAAATAAAATGCGAGATAAAATGTAATCAGTATAGGATATTCTATGTTGTTTATTTATCGAGGTATTTACCTACACACTTTTATTATTTTATACTTCTTTTTAGTTTGGCTATCTATGAAATCGTGATTTTTAGGTTTTTAAACAACTATTATTTATTCTTTAGCGAATTGCGAATCGAATGTGATTAGTTTTGTACGGCGATGGAATCCATAAAAATGTAACGGTCTCTCATTATTATTATAGCATCCACATCGGGATTGGCCTGGAATCTTCTAAAAATAGCGAGAAAACTAACATACTAGATACTAACAAACACGTCCATCCAATATTAATCGAAAAAAGGCTGATTGGACCCCTCCAGGGTATAAAGAATAGATACCTACCCTAATGAAAATGATGATTTCTCGGGAAATTCTTTGATGTGCCTATAATTGAGTATGGAAGGGGTGGCCAGTCAACAAATGTTACCAAAAACACATTTTGATAAGTATCAAAAACAACTCATTTATGTGCTTACACGATATCCAGTGGTAGCTCATTAGGGCAGGCAAAATAACAAGAAGTAATCCTCGAAATAATCCAAAATGAATATGTAATTATTTCAGCTGATAAGTCACTGGTTCGATTTGAAGAAATGGAGGGTGAATCATAGGATCCCTCGTATCTTGATTATTCAATAATTTTTATTTGTATGTTCGATCATCAGATTGTCTGGATCGGAAAAAACTTTTCCAAAACCTCTATAAATCGTATGATCAAAACAACAAGTTCAAAATACGAGTAAGTAGTAAGATTGTATGCGGAAGAATCAGAAGAACACTGTTTCATTTCATCACTTGTGTTGTTTTCAAATTTGAAAATTCGATAATACAGGGTGTTGCGAGGGGTGTTGTTTTGACCACACAAAAAGTTCATTGAACTTTTTTCAATCCTGACCTGAATTTCTTCTAGCTAATACGTACGTCGCTTGTGTGTATTGAACATAGAATATATGGCTCCTATATATATGTGAGCGAACACCCTGTAGTTGTTGAATATTGTCATCTCGAAATATCAAGACATCGGCTATTGGAATTGTTGGGCGAGAAGAACCCTATTTGTATCACTCAGCACACGTGTGGCTAAGTGGTTCTTTGTTATTGTTCGATATTATAAATGTTTAGATTAAGATTCATGACTGTATGAGATTTTTGTGTGAAATGGGAATGAAAGGAAATACACACTCGCTCTGAGGACTTGATATGGTTCGTTAGAACTTCACGATTTTCTACAATAAATCAGTTTTTAAAGGAAAACTCGTGTTTTCTTACATCAGAAGTGGGATAGAACAACTAGAAGTACCACAATGTATGTTATTGTGGATAAAATCAAAGCCAGAGACAATGAAAGAATTGTTAAGCTGTTCACTTTACGATTTTTCTGCAATAAATTAGTTTTTAAAGGAAAACTTGTGTTTTCTCACATATATATATATATATAGCGACTTTTCATTAACATCCTGTATGGTATGATTTGTGCTCACACATATTTGTTATTCTATAAAGATTATCTCGTACTATCTAATTCGATTACTCTTATTTACTTGCGGAGATTTCATTAATTCTCTATGTAATTATCACATACCAACCGTTCTCATTTATCCGATTAGCTATCTATGTAACATAATCTTGTTAAGTGAAGTCGAGAGTAAAGTATACTCAACTTAACACTTAACCTTGTCGACAGATACGAGATTAAGTTTTATAAAGAGTTTTTCCAGACATCTGAAAGAAGAGTCCTCTGGTCTTCAGTGGGTCACATTGATTAATACAGTGCCCTCGAACTCTCAACAGAACGAAAAAAACCCTGCAAACGACTTTGATTGTTAGCAGGAGGTGCAAACTAAAATCGACCGATCTGCGCATTTTTTCGTATCTACGCTATTATCACCCAAAATCTCCCTGTCAAGTTGAAAATGGGCCATCCTGTATGATGAAAAGGTTATTAAATAATTAACATGAATACGTGACTAAAATATCAACATGAAGGAGGAAGAAACCTGCAGACTATGGATGATATGGAGGGACTCCGAAAGAATTTCTTCAGATATCTCGTACACCAAGCAAAATTTAGAAAGAAATGTAGTGAGAAAAAAGATAGATAATTGATTTTGTTATTCAAGTAGATATTAAAATATGGTCAGTGGCGTACTCAAAAAAAGTTCTATGGATTTTCTCCAATCAGAATGCTAAATTTGTATCTCCCTGTATATCGAGTGCACTGATGAGACCTGTTCTCTATGCACACTTCTTATAGTTGACTGCCTTTCAAATTTCAGAGCATTTCCTCTCAAGGATTTTGAAATATTCAATAAAATCTGAAAAAAAAAAAATCCATTCATCGCCCTCTCACGGCCCAACGGTGCATTTTCGTACAGAGGTAAGTTGGTCCCAATCGACCTTTTTTGAACTCTAGTTCACCCTGTTGAATTTAATGTACGTTGTTCTGGGACACCCTGTATACAGTGTAAAACAGAACCTTTTTCTAATTCAACCTTCGGTTTCCATTCTACTTCACTAGATTCCAATAAAAAACCGTGTATATTACGAAACCTAATGAGACTGTGCCAAATGTGAAGTCGCAAGTCGCAACTAAAAATAACACTACGTTCCATGAAAATCTGTTAATATCTTCTCTGAATAGGAACATTTCCAGTATAACACGTGGGAGAGAAATCTCGAAAGTCTGCGTTATATTGACTAAACGCAAGGAATCTCAAAATAATTTGTTCAGTACTTAATGCTTAACTCATGCTATCTTCGTTCTGAGGAACTGTTTTTTTCTTACTAGTGGATAATGATACAATATTTTCACCTCTATACAGCCCTAGGACTCATTAGTTACCTACTCTTTTTCGAGTCCTGAATTGGTATTTCACTGCCAAAGTAGTTTGTTCATAATCCAAGACTTTTTGAACATGTAGGTTTGATTTATTTTGACACGATCGATGTTCATTGCAGCAAAGCTGCTATCTCTGAAATGTGAAATTATTAGGTATCAAATAGAATATCGTCAAAATCCTTTATCACTTTCGCTAGTAATGTCTATAGAGAATAAATATCAAGTGATTATATACAGTTAATATTCATTCTCTTTTCAGTTCTACTGAGGAGTTGACGAAAGGAACATGTAGATGATAGGAGTTCATGTCTTAAAAGTGTTATATCAGGAGTACCTCAAGGCTCAATTCTTGGTCCTCTCCTATTTTTGTTATACACTGCAGATATTTTTTCTCAAATTAAACATTGCCGGGTACAAGCATTTGCGGATGACACGCAGTTATATCAGAATCAAATCAATGATGACCTTGAAGTTATGAATAGTCTGTCGAACAAATACAATTTGATGTTGAATCCTGGCAAATGCCGTGTCATGTTCTTCGACAACATAAACCAGAGACAATATGTTGAGGATCATATCAAGCTAACTGAATACTTAAATCGGTTGACTCTGTAAAATACTTAGGCATCATTTCCGATGGAGATTTAAGATTTAATGCACATGTAATAGTAAAACAATTTGTGATTAAATCCTATGCCACTATGGCAGCCACTCTCGAAGTTCTCTGAGACAAAGCTTGTCCCCTATAGTATACAGAATAGTATATTGTGCAACAAGTGGGAAAAGTTCAACTTTTCTCACGAGTGTGGAAGTTTTCGTTTTCACACGAGTGAGGAAAGTACTTTTCCCCACATGTTGCACACTATACTTTTTCTACGACTGCACATATTCA